TATGAAAAGTGAGCTCGACGACTTTAATATCGTCCCTTATTTAAGGATTACCGGGGATGAGACGGAGGGTCCGCGCTAACGTGGGCCGGGTGTAACTCGCCGCCACTTAATTATCTCGTAACATATGAATTTTAATGATGGGAACTCATTTATAGACGAGTGGCTGTGACGGCTTGCTGACCTTTATTGGACGTTGTATGAAGAGGTCCGGCGCGGCCGCGGGGCACTGGGTTCCTTACCAATTGTTGGAAATGCTGTGCAATGCACGGATTTAATTAAATGATGAGCACTTAAGTCTAAGGAGAGATTTTGCCTCCCTGTGCGTGTTCTACCGCTTGTATAATGGGTTATGTTCTGCGGAATTATTTGATATGATGCCCACGGCCACTTTTTATCATCGCACTGCTCGCCATCGACAGGGGGCTCACGCTCACTCATTGGAGCCCAAATGGTCCCGTACAGTTCGGTTTCATAGGAATTTTCTCCCACGGACCCTCCGATTGTGGAATGAGCTCCCTGCCGTGGTCTTCCCAGTGGGCTACAACATGAGGTTCTTCAAGAGGGCAGTGAATAGGTTTTTTAAGGGTCGGCAATACGCATGTAATGCCCCAAGTGTTGCAGGCGTACATAGGCCACGGTAACCACTTACCAGCCGTGTGCTTTTTTGCCACCGTCGTGGTATAAAAAAAAAGTGATTCGTGCAAAACTGAACTACATGTTGATGATCAAAACAATATTATTTAAAAAGGAATATATTGAGTTGAATTCTATTATACTCGGAAACTGCTGAGACAATTGATATTATGTTCTCTATGCCACTTTGTGTTGGTATCTACCAGTACATACATAAATAACCTCACACCTGTCTCCCGTGGGGGTAGGCAGAGACTATGAAACACCAATTGCCACAATTCTTACATATCAGTATGAAGGCATTAATATCGGAGATGTGAAGCACACTGCCAAGAATATTGTAGTTAACAGTAAACTACAGTGGTGACACAAAAACTAGTAATTAGAGATCGTGTCCACGTGTAGCGGCAGTTTTTGTAGCTCCGCGGCCGACCAGCGCGCGGCCGGGGTTGGGGCTTCGGGTCGTGTTGGTCAATAGTTTTTGCAAGACAAACTCCGCTAATGATTTGTATCAGTAACCTATTCAACAAATTGCTGACCTCAAACGCTTTATTACAGGCAAACATTACATTTTAACAAAATTATATTCCTTTTCACACAATTACGCCATCACAATATCTATATTTACGGTAACGATAAAGTGATAGCAACTAATATTAACTTTGTGTCCATGGGTGTAAGGACTAAAATGCTTTGTGTCACCTTTGGCGTTGTAAATGCAATTTGGGTTCGGTGTAATGGTTCGGGTAGACGCCATTAGGCCGGTGACGTCACAGGCTTCTACGAAGCCACTGCACAAATTATGACAGTAGTCAAGTTTTTATGAAACACATTTAGTTAATAGGGATACATGCAGGCACTTGGATAAGAATACAATTGACAGATACGACGCACGTGGTGTCTGTTATAATGTCTTCCGTTACACAGTCCACGTTTAAGTATTGTTCAGTATTGTCAACTCGAGCCCTCCCAAGTAAGGTGTCGCCTGTGTCGTGGCAGTGCCGCGGTGTGGCTGTGTCGTGGCAGTACCGCGGTGTGGCTGTGTCGTGGCAGTACCGCGGTGTGGCTGTGTCGTGGCAGTACCGCGGTGTGGCTGTGTCGTGGCAGTACCGCGGTGTGGCTGTGTCGTGGCAGTGCCGCGGTGTGGCTGTGTCGTGGCAGTACCGCGGTGTGGCTGTGTCGTGGCAGTGCCGCGGTGTGGCTCTGTCGTGGCAGTACCGCGGTGTGGCTGTGTCGTGGCAGTACCGCGGTGTGGCTGTGTCGTGGCAGTACCGCGGTGTGGCTGTGTCGTGGCAGTACCGCGGTGTGGCTGTGTCGTGGCAGTGCCGCGGTGTGGCTGTGTCGTGGCAGTACCGCGGTGTGGCTGTGTCTTGGCAGTGCCGCGGTGTGGCTCTGTCGTGGCAGTACCGCGGTGTGTCTGTGTCGTGGCAGTACCGCGGTGTGGCTGTGTCGTGGCAGGGCTGCCTGTGTGTGGCGCCCGTGTGATGTACATCTACATACCGCGGCGCTACAGTTCCTGCCGCGGACTCACCACTTGCTTGTAACGCTTGTTATCTGATCTGCTAAAGAAAAGTTTTGACTTTGTTTAGTGATCTGGATTTGTCATGTTTCAACACATTTTTTCATCATTTAGCAACAGAACATGGAGAGTTATTTATAGAAGAGACTCGTCGTAATACACCGCTACTGTTTCTAAACACCCCTGACAATAAAATTGGATAATAGTCTTCAAGAAAAAAATGCCAAACGAAAGAATAACACAAATTAAACAGTCACCGGTCTGAAGGGGACACATGTAACAATAAAGTACGTTCAACGACTATAATAGTGGCAGCCTGGCAAGGCCCGGGGCTCGGGGCCCGGGGACCTGACGAGGGACGTAATGGCACCCGGGGTGACTGTGACCAAAGAGCCAGTGATTCATATTAAAATTACATTTTGGGGCGACGCACGGTATCGGCGCGCGGCGATTTGGTAACCGACGCGACGTGGTGTTGATCAGGTGGAGGCACGCACCGTTGCTAAGTGATTACCTACCTACCCAGTGCGCGGGTTGCGGTAGTGGCTCGGTGGTGGCTTGCTGGGTGTCGTGTCACGTCGCGCGTGCATTATGTTTAGTGGAAACATCGCCCCAGTTCCCAGTGTGACCACAGCCTGCGCTACGTACGATTATACTAAACGGCTCCTCTTTACACTAATATCGTTAACATGAGGATTTAATCAGCTGCTCTCTGCTCTATACAATAAAACGCCAGATTTACGATTTCGGTATTTTATTCAACATCTTGATAGGGGCCGAAGGATAAACCGAGGTGCATTCAAATTCGAACTTTATGTTCCGTACTGAAAGTTTCATTATCACTTAACTTCGAATCCCACGAGGGGTCTTCTTACAAAGTGCGCACGTGAGCTGAAGTTTTAAAAAGCATCCAATTTTCAAGTCCCCTGTATCTTGAATAACATAAATTATAGTAAAAACATCCGCAATTTATGAGTTTAATTCACAAATTGTATGTCCCGGGAACTATGCAGGGTGGTTACTGGCAGTGGTAGCACGGGGGGGGGGGGCTTAGAATTGAGAACAAGATAAGCGTGTTATGTTTACACACACCACGTGGTTTGTTAAGATATTAATGAGGTGCTAAGATACTGTGTGAGTAATGTCGTGTAGAACAATAATACGACTCGTCTCGTATACTTATAGCTCACACAGAGCTCCCACAGACCGGCACGCCTCTGTCACGCGCCACAACTTAGCCAACCGTAAACATACGCGCACCTGAGCATGTCCTCTATACACCCGCAACAATATTGCAGAACTGACTTTCAAACGACTCGCGCACAACGCAATACTGAACATGATTTAGTTCCAAGCAAATCAACAACACTATTACACATTGAACTTCATTAAATATGAGTAGTGTCTATCTGTTTCGAAATATTATACTAGACTGACTTAGTTTCAGATTGCCGTGGTATTATTAAGTAGTTGTGGCTTGAGAGCCAAACTACGAATCATTTGAATTCACTTGTGGTAACGAGAGTGCTTTCTGCAAGTTGTTACTCTGTGACAACACGCCGCCTCACGCGCGCCCTCTGCACGCGCAGAAATAACAGGCCCGCAGCCCGCACGCTGCCCTTTATAAGCTATTTTTATGAAATCAAGTCTGAACAGAAGGTTGTGCTACATAAGTTCAATATTAATCATATATTCCAGGTATAATACAAGACACCACTCTGAACTTTTGATAAAATGTCAACTTTGTTTTTGATACGAATTTGGGTCGCTTGGTGAAGCCGCCGCGCCGCCATTTTGCAAAGACTTAGGCTTATATATAAATATAGAATTTGAAAAATATTATTAGATAGATATCTCTTTATTATAATAAGAATTAGTTTTCACAATGTTATTATGCTGTAATGTTAGTGGTGGTGTTTAGAATTGTTGGTTCATTGCGACGTCAGTATGTATCGTTGTCTTGCGAACAGTTGTTGCCTGGTGAACAATGCGCGACGTAGCACGACTGGCACGGCACCTCCCTATATTTTAATAGAGATATAACCATCTTTAAGATCGTTACAAACGTAGAAACATTTCGCTACAAAGTATTTCCGCGAACCTGTTACTAAGCTCCCGTCGGATGTGTACAGAGGCGTGGGACTGGCGGGCAGACACCGGTCACCTTGCTGACTCCTGGGGGAGCGCGGCCCGGCTTGGGTGGAAGAGAACTAAATGCCTGCAGACATTAAGTCGTGTTTACCTATAAATAAACTTGTACTTAGGTCCCTACACATCTACTGTTTGGATGTTTATAGATTTGCTCTTATAACATCTCTCCGTTGACTTAGCGGTATAGTATATAAATTCTTTCAATACGAAATAAAGTTTTTCCAAGTTGTGTCTGTTGTGCGGCTTCGGAAATTGAATCGAAACTAGCCGCAGTAAAGTATCGATGTCTGAAGTTAGTACAACTTGCCGAGTGTCACTTGGGAATAGCACGAAACTATTGCCAGCTGCCAGCCAGGTGAGAAACATACAGAAAGTAGTGACACTAATGATATCTACACATGTACATGAGTCACCGGGAGTTGTGTTTTCAACTCAATCGTCAACTTCAGTTTTTAGTTAAGTTTGTCACTAACTAGCTGGTTCAAGTTACCTACACCTATATTACGTGTACCTAGTTACTCTGCAGTTTAGTTCGGTATCGGAAGTGTGATCGTGGCGTATGCTATGTAGCGGCGAGACTACCAGACTAACGCACACAGCCCAGTAAATGTTTGCCATCACTTGTATATCGCAACATGTGCCCAGTGCCCGCCTGCTGCCGCCTGCCGCCTGCCGCCTGCCGGTAGCACTAGCAATATTAACAACAAACTGCTCGAATGTTACAAGTTGCTTGTAATGTGACCCAGCAACACGTTACCGCAGCACAACACGTCACACTTATATTTAAGTAGTTCTTTGTCTTTATCAGATTAACGACGATACTACTTGTTGACAAGATCGTTCCCATTACAAGGCGGGCAGTATCCCCCGAGCTCGACGGAGGCCCGGCGACATCGACTACGATCAGTTTACGTAATCCGATGATCTGTTTACTGGAAGCCTTAACGAACGACTTCCCGACGCAACCCGAATCCGTACAAACAAAGAACATTACTATAAATACACACAACAACACGGGACTACTCCACGACATTTGCGGATTCTCTCAACAATACGAGACTTGCCGAAGCTAATAACCGGGTTTTTTGTGAATATATCCGACACAAAGGGCTGGTTCCATTGTTGTGCGACATTCGGGACGCAACACTGCTGGGTACCGGGCTCGGGGGAGTCACCGTAATGTTACCGCACGGTGTGAGAGCTTGTCATTACTTACAATAGTCATTAGGTACTCTTTTTGATCACTCCTCAGATGTTCTTGAGAATACTGTATTAGGTACCATTAGAGACGCGTAGTATTACACATCACCAGTTTGTATTAGCCTAATGCTATGATTTTCAATCACTTAACTTGCACTGGCTGCTAACTGCTGACGGTCTACCCCCAAGTCTGTGCTCTGTACAGGCTGTTCTTTTTGTACGAACGTTTTTGGTACGACCTTGGTGTATACAGGATGCATGAATAAAATAACTTATTGTTAACCTAACAATGTACTGAGATGGAGCTCGAATGCCCGATACTTACTTCGAATGACGGACCGCCGTGTGACTTTTTTAGTTTAGAAAACATTTTTTATTAGATGTAATCAGTTATGTACGTGTACTGTATACGTTGTGAATGCTTTAGCACGGCATGAACTAACTTTTGAATCTAGGTCTTTTGTAATTTGTATCTATTTAATAAAGAATTAAATATATACACATTACACATGCTCACCGAAGGACATTACAACATTATACATGGTCCTCTACAGATATTGTCCCGAAAATGAGGAACACGATGATAGTCTAGTTTATACAAAAGCATGTTTTAAAGCAATTGGTAGGGCCACATAACCAGGGTGTGACAATGATTAAGTTTTCAGATTTATCCTTGCGATGGGACAAAAGTAGTATTTTACCGAATTAAAAAAATAGAAGTTAAACGTAGTTTAAAATATATTACTGTAATCGTATGTACTGTATAATGGTGGGTGCGTGTGTCCACACAGTACATAGGCAGGGCGGCGTGTATCAGTGACGTCACGGTTGGTCGCGCACTCTACAATGGACGACGACGATGACACGTTAGCGGTACTGATGATGTATTGCGGACTATTCTGCTCACCCTTACGTTTTGAGTAAAACTTCAGATGGTTGTAGGTAACATTGGTTCAGTCATAGAATACTAGCTTATACTAGGGCCCTGCACTGTACAGAGTGGTGACCTAATGACGTTATACTAGGGCCCTGCACTGTACAGAGTGGTGGCCTAATGACGTTATACTAGGGCCCTGCACTGTACAGAGTGGTGGCCTAATGACATTATACTAGGGCCTGCACTGTACAGAGTGGTGACCTAATGACGTTATACTAGGGCCCTGCACTGTACAGAGTGGTGACCTAATGACGTTATACTAGGGCCCTGCACTGTACAGAGTGGTGGCCTAATGACATTATACTAGGGCCCTGCACTGTACAGAGTGGTGGCCTAATGACATTATACTAGGGCCTGCACTGTACAGAGTGGTGACCTAATGACGTTATACTAGGGCCCTGCACTGTACAGAGTGGTGACCTAATGACGTTATACTAGGGCCTGCACTGTACAGAGTGGTGGCCTAATGACGTTATACTAGGGCCCTGCACTGTACAGAGTGGTGACCTAATGACGTTATACTAGGGCCTGCACTGTACAGAGTGGTGGCCTAATGACGTTATACTAGGGCCCTGCACTGTACAGAGTGGTGGCCTAATGACGTTATACTAGGGCCCTGCACTGTACAGAGTGGTGGCCTAATGACGTTATACTAGGGCCCTGCACTGTACAGAGTGGTGACCTAATGACGTTATACTAGGGCCCTGCACTGTACAGAGTGGTGGCCTAATGACGTTATACTAGGGCCCTGCACTGTACAGAGTGGTGACCTAATGACGTTATACTAGGGCCTGCACTGTACAGAGTGGTGACCTAATGACGTTATACTAGGGCCTGCACTGTACAGAGTGGTGACCTAATGACGTTATAAACGTGCGCTTAATTTCCGTTACTATTGTTATTATTGCACGCACTTTATGCCAGCGAGTATAAACAAACAATAATTCATTAAATTATAATAAAGTCCGTCCATTTTATCCTATTATTATAAAGCTATGATGACAAGCGGTCCGGTCCGGTCCGCTCAGGTCCGAGAGCGAGCAGCAGGTAACAGTCGTTGACAGTAACTAATGGCGGCGCCACCATCAGTCACCGTCTTCATGTCGCGGTGACGGCGGCTCAGAAACTCACTGCGAATATAATTATCAACCTGCGGGTACTCGGTCGTGATTATTATTATGGAAAACTTAACATCAAACCGTTTAGTGGTTGTTCTTCTAGAATTGACAATTTGGAGAGAGCATATAACTTCATTAGTTGGTGTATCGATTGCGCCGCGTTGTAATCGTCACTCACGTAGGACATCCTGTAGCTCGAAGTGTCTGTGGCCATCATTGACCACACACCGGCCACGGGCCGCGTGCTGCCGCGGGGAGCGGTCGGAGATAATATTCGCGGCGACCGCTTACTATGGGCACGCACTGGTAGCACTGGTGGCACGTAGGTGCAGCGGATTATTCGGGATTCATATTTAAACACCATAACTACACTGATCGGAATATTGATGTCTACATGTTAATGGTAGCATTCTTGATGACAACTTGTTAATCTCGTTTCAACTGCCTTTTTGGTCGTATAGTCTTGCGACACACGAATAAAATATGGATGCATTCAAAACTAGTCACTAAGTAACAATTGCAACTACAGAAAACATGTTTGCCTATCATTCTACAGAAATATTAATGTTCCTATAAAATTGTTTAAAGCAAGAATATGTTAATTCATGTTGCTAGACAGACTCGGTTCATGTCCAAGCTAAGTGGGATTCACGAATCTGTCCGTGCGACACGTCCCGGTAGATGTTCATTAACAGGCTCTAGTTTATCCAGCCGGGGACTATCAGCCAGCCACATCACCGGCTGACTACAAACGAACTGGCCAAAGAAAGTGCAAACTAATTTAACAGGATTAGAGAGCTGAGTCGTGAGTAACGCGCCTAATGCCAGCCGTCTATTGTGAACCGAGGCAGGTTTAGATCCGCTCATCGGTATTCATGACGGCCACCGCCTAATTTTATTGAGTTTATTTCACAATTTGTTTGTATTATCTTTATTGGCAAGCTTCAATAATGTCGTCCGCGAGACGTGTGCCTTCATCAAGTAATACAGAGTAAGCTCGAAACTGCTGTCAGGTTGTCTTTAAATTGAATAAACCTTAATACATATTTGGCCCTTATGAAAATTATACTAGGTATCTCCTTCCTAGTGACCGAATTTATTACCTACTTCCAAAGATAAAGATGTCACACAAGTGAGCAATACATTACCTCTATGGAGGGCCGGCAGATGGTACAGGGAGGGAGCGATCGTTCTGTGTCGTTTATCTCGGCGGTATCGTCAGCGTGACCACTAATTACCACTAATCCAGCCGGAGCCGATTGTGAATGAATACATCATTGGGTAACTATTGTCATGCTACCGATCATTGGCTTAAATGAATGTTATCATATTCACAGTTGCCTTGCTCCTGTTCTAATGATATGACAAATGATTTACGCTATGAGACTGCTATACATGACTATGTTTGGTTTACGTGTTCTGTATCTGATCTGTAGAAGAATAACTCCATAATTTAGATCGGTTTGTGATATCGGATGTGTGGAATTTCTGTGAGATTTTGGTTTATCGTCGGTTACAAATTCGGCCATACCACAGCCAGTTAGATCCACTACAGGGTCCACATAGACGTACGTAGATACAGTGTCACTGAGTGCGTTCTGGTTAATCTGTTGATCCGTTTACGTGGAGTTAGTGACCTGTGCTCAACTGTGCTGTACACCGGGCGCGGGCCATGGCTGCCATCTGCTGGAGCTGCTCCATTTGCGGCCTCTCTCTGTGCTGATAGGTTGTAGACATGTTGTAGGCATCTTTTACGAATCATGTAATTGTAAAGTATTCAGTTGTGCTTTCTGTAACAATACAGGACAAAATAACTATTCATTTTCTTGTACTGGGATGACTCCTAAAGCAACAACCAATGTTTGAGCTTCGAATTACGGCCACTTGAAACGTATAAATATTTCAACGTCCGCATTGTACAGTATCGCATCGTCTCACAAGGAGTCGCCCTCGCAGTAGTTACAGGTTACACCACAGAAGGGCAACCTCCCTCTGTCGACTCTCTCCGAGGGGCGCGGGTGTGAGAGTAACAAGATTGTATTGTTCAATTTATACTGTACCCTGTATTGTGTGTCTTAATGTCCTCAATGTTCCCCAGCTTATCAATACCTTGTGTTCCGCGGACAATACAGATATGTAACCTATTGTTAATGTACATAAGTGATCAAACGCCGCCTCCATGAAAACATACCGTCTGGTTATTAAACAAGTTATCAAAGATATCGAAGCCAACAATGTGGCAACTTGCAAATCTCATTAAAGTCCAATCAATTCAAAGTTTTACGTACACAGTTTAAAGACGTGAACTTTATACGCGCACATTGCGCGTTAAGACAGAAGTACCATTCTTACTTAATATTTTTTATAGTTAGTTCGATTTGCATAAGTAGACTCATTCATTGAGTTATTTAGAACGATAGTTCCACCCGATGTTAGTCTACTTGTTGATTGTTACTCACGTCAGCTCGTTGTACCCATACATATAAAGTTGTACTTCTGCGCTTGTGTTATTGTTGTACTATCTAAGTTGAGTTGATGTGTTTTCAAACGCGGCTGGGAGGCGGGCGGCCTGTGACGAGGCCGAGCCTCCGACAAATAAAACGTCTCGACGCGACTTCTGACGACTTTCAGCGAACTTTTACAAAATATCTCTAAAGGGACGGACTGTGTTGTCGGGATACTGCGAACTTCACTTAATTAATATTAATTCTGTGACTGCCTGTTAGATATTTAATGTTTAGGCCGGAGTTTAGAAAAAGTTTTAAAGGAAGGAACGCTTCTAAGTACATTAGGATAATAGAAATGTTTTGTTTGGCGGGATGAGATGGAACACAAACGTTTTGATTACGTGAAGTACGGCCACGAGACATGAATTATAAAATAATATGTCTTCTCTCTTGTATCCATTTATTTGATTAAACATTACAGCGCGTAACATGTGAAACCTGTAGGAATGGCCGTGGGCCCTGTGTTTTGTTTTGTACTCAGCCTTAATTCACAAACTGCGGCTGTAAAATGTTTGCAGTAATTAGTTAACAAATAAAGCGCGAGCTGCAGCGCGTCGCTGGCATCGCTCGCGTCGGCCGCGCCGCGCCGTGTTGTACAAAAAGTCAACAACAACAGCGGTGAATTATTGCCGCTACACCGAGTGCTACAAAAAGTAGCGCCGCGCTGTTTGCTTATAGTTACAGTAATTGGAACAACCCCACGATTGGTTAAAAATTTGGAAACTGAGCATTGTTGTAGGTACTACTTGTTTCAATAATATTATCATCTTATTGATATAGCATCTTGGATGTTATTTCGTAATAGTGCTTGGCTATTGTACAATATTATTTGAATCATTTCGTAATTTAGGTACGTAGAGCTATGATATTATGGCAACGTTGCGCTCCTCTATGAGTTGAGACATCACAAAAGACACATTTTAACACCACCGTGCAAACACTACCTTGTTCGGTGTTCGATGTCCAGACGTGACACAATCTAAACATACGTATGAATACTGTGAGCTTCGTACGATAGAGTGTATACTGTATAGCTCAGTCGCCGGGGCGTGTGTGTTCGATCGCGGGTTCGTTTCCTGTCGCCGGCACGGTCGCATGGCCCGGGGCACCGGAACTGTCTGTTTATTTGTTCATTTTCTGTTGCGAAACCGTTCCGAGTTTTTAAATGTTGACCTGCAGGCTGTGTATTGTGCCGGACAACGGACGTCTAACCGGAGTACGGCTGTGGCCGGCTCGTGTTGTTGTGACTATATTGACGTACATGATCGTGGCTGTGGCCTGGGTGCTCACATACTCTAGTAGGCACTGCTGCAGTAGCGTCTAGTTGTAAGTACAGTGTATGACTGTATGTTTGTTGTTACAGATTGGAGCGGCCGGCTGTCGGGGCGGCGGCGCTCGTCGCAGCAGTCGCCCGCCGCGCTGCTCGCTAACTTCGACACCACCGTGCAGCAGGTCTGTACCCACTTCCACTCGTTACTCGTTGTACTCGAGACCAGCACGTAAACTTGTCTTTAATCTCAAAGTGCGACAGCTTGATGTGCTAGTGTTTCTTACTACATAAATCTACGTTCGTCCTCGTGTCGTACATACAGGGGAGCGTCCGATATGACTGACAACAATTTGCCCGTGTATGAGTGTAACAACAGGCACGCCTACTCATCTATTGAGTTGACCGATGTTGGAAGCGTTACAACATTTTACCTGACAAAGAAGTATCTAATGCTTGAAAGTTTTAAAAGTATTTAATGCTATGTAGGTAGATACTATTGAAGTCATTCAGAACGAGTCATTGCCCAGTGTAGTAGTCCGTGAAGTGGTGCGGGTGTCGTTGTGGACTGCTGACGAGGTTGCCCCCCCCCCGCACCCGGTGTGAATATAATCTGAAGCCGCCGACTATCCTCCAGGGTGAGCCACCGCCATTACACCGCGCGATACAGAAGGACAACTTGTAGCAATCCCCATGATAGAAACTTTGGTGCTTCTTACTGTATATTTGTACAATGTAGTTGTCTGTTCGTATGTATCAATGCATACGAACAGATACAAAACACACAAACAATGTTCTGTTTCACATTAGTGTGGGAGAGCACTTTAACGCCGGTGTTTCATGTGTCCATGAGCGGTGCCGATTGCATACCATCAGGTGATCCGTCTGCTTGTTTACAGACTCATTCCATAAAAGAAACATAATTTATTGAAGAAACTTATTGTATTATTTTCATGTTTTAAGGCAATAGTTATTATTGCTTAAAATATTACACCTTTACCTTAACGATACAAAACTAAACGTGTTGTATCTGGCGTCGTACAGAGCGGTAGTTCTGTGTGTGCCGCCGCGTGTCTGTGCGCAGTAACCACTCTAGTTTAGCGGACACGACGCGATTGAAGTGTCCCCCCTACATTGCTGTACTTATACTGAGCACTGAGCACTGAGCAGTCACTGGTAATGCTATCTATTGCACGACTAACTAAATTCCATTTCAAATGATTTGGTGGAGTTAATTGAACGATGAGCCGAGCTATTCCTAGTCTATTCGACGTACACTTCTGGTCGACCTATCTACTGCTAACAGTATACAGTACGTCCTCAACCTACATATATCTGCAAATAACATTGTAAGATTTCTCTAAATTGTCATTTAATATTTTGAGAAAAAAGAACACTAAGCAATTTCTCAATTCCGTACAAAATAACGAGCGTACGTCACAAAATAAAATACATTGCCTCTTTAACATCAATTTCTGATTCAATTTCGCAATAAAGCCGGCAATGTAATCGGTAACATTTTTCTTCAGTGGAGCGACGTGATTGCATTGAGTTCTTTGTTGTGGCTTGTATCAAGCGGCGGTGGTGTCACTTCACAGGACATTGGAAAAGGTTCGCAGCACGGAGCACGACAACCACACAACGTGAAGCTGACTGCGACACACGACACTCGACCCAATTGATCAAATTGCTTTAAGAGAACTAGTAAAAAGTCCCGTGCGGTTAGCTAGAGACATGAGACGAAATTGACAACTACAAATGGTACAAAATACCTACTATAAAGTTATGCGCTGTATGAGTCAGTATGAGTATGCGCAGAGTGAACCTACTGCGAGTTGTGCTTACTAGTAATGTTAAGTTTATCTCTTCCGCACAATTTGCCAGGGGGTAGCTCAGTGGCGGCGTGGCGGGGATTGAGGCATTCCTGCGAATACTCGCCGTTTTATTACCGGAGTGGCCCGCGCCGGCACTCACTCCCGGACTGGGCAAAAAATTATATTTCCAGTTGTAACATTTTATGTCTGCGATCACGGTTCGGCGAAGGGAGTCAATAAACACGCGGAGGGCAAGCGATGCACTCTCAAGAGGGCCTGTGTGGAACTGTTCGTTTGGTTTTGTATACAGAGTGCCTCCAGCCCGTACTACCGCCGCCGGTTTGTTTCAACAAACATCAGCTTCGTTTGATGGAAAGCAAAAATGATTGGCTTTCATGGTTTCATTTTTTGTTCGGAATATTCCCCTTGAATTATTATTATATTTGATGGGCCAACATTTGGCCGCTATCTCGTACTAGGACACCTGAGACATAGGTTACAGAAGGTAGTTAGATGTCGATTTCCATTCGTTTACGCTGTATCAGTTGACACTGACATTTTAACCTTGGTATCTACCACACTTCACCGTTAAGATGATCCAAATATAGGGGTGACTTGGACTCAATGCTGATGTTTGGGTCGGTAGTGGGTGGTGTTGTTTTAGAGGCGACTAAAAGTGGTATTATAGGTTCCATAATTTTGCAAATCACCATTCTCCCAAGGTAGAACATAAATAGATGGGCTATTTCTTCAAAACAAAGACGAATCTAGTTTTCGGTTTTGATTGGATAGATAGAATAACCAACTGAGCAAATTTCATCAAAGATAGAATGCTTCACATTCCTAGTTCAGAATGGCGGCGGCGGCGGCGGCGGCGGCGGGGGCTGCCCGCGGCTCGGCCGACTGTCGCTTACCGTGTTATATTCCTGACAACTAATCAGAACATACGCACTCACGTCACGCACGTGCGCGCGCACTGAGACACTACGGTCAAGAAGCTGCATATCCATATGGAATGAGAAACAGTTTTGATCAAACTGAATAAGTTTACGTGCATTTTATTATACATCAAACATAAAATGATGTGCGGAGGTGCCGGTAGAGTGCAGCGGAGTGCATTTTATTGCTCTTGTATTGGCGGCGCACTTCAGCACGTGCACTATCAGCCGGCAGTCAGGTTTACGACGCCGCGCGCCGCCGACATTACCAATTTATTACACGGCTTACGAGTAGTGTCGTGTCGTCGCGGTGGCTCACGGCGCTGCCTTTTAATTCCATGTATGCCTACGATAGGGATTTATATTTGCCCCTGTTATTCATCCGTGTGTTTCCAAAAAGGTCGCAGAAGGCGTCAGTAAATCAGAATTGGGTGTTCGGCATTACGGCGGCGGCCGCAGATGACCTCGGCCCTTTCTATTCCAAAGAGAAATGGAAAAAAGTGCGTCGTCCCCGCTCTGATTCCTATAAAATTCCTCGGGCACCCATCCGAAGGCAATCTACTAAAAATATTTTTTCCTAGAAACCTTTTCCTGCGTAGAGGACAGTATTGGAATAAAATCTTATTGTTATCGGGCAGCTCGGCAGGTCGAGAGGTTGGCTGCATTCTACTTTATTGGGAAATTATGCTAAGCCCGGACTCGACCCCGCACAATTCATTGTCTTCTCTCTGTTGCTCGTCCCCGCTCGGGTTGGGATCATTGAGGCTCAGCTCGCATCTTCTGAATATCGATATTGTACCTGGGAATTGAATCCAAAGTTTTCTTGATGCTACGCAAATACAAGTACATCAGATAATTAGTACGAATAAAACAATTGTTGTATTTTACAAAAGCGTATATAATACTGTGTGGGAGTGAGACCGAGGAGGCTGTCGATGTAACGGATGTGAGACAAGGGCTCGTGGTGGCCCGGTAATTGATGACTCATCGCCGTACTGTGTGACTGTAATTGTAATTGAAATGTCTTACATTTGCCATAACATTGTTCTCTGTAACTCCTTTGTATCGCCCTGCGCAGTCTTTGCTTGTGACTGGCAGAGCACGTAACAAAACACAACCCGGCCGTATGTGCGGCAGTCGGCTCGACTCCTGCAACAAGCAGTAGTGGTGCTAGTACTACTAACATTCTTATAAACCTGTAATGAGGTCGAGTGTAATGATGTCGTTGTCCTCAGATCCGCGACTGGGTGTCCGTGGAGGTGGACATGCTCCGCACGCAGGCGGTCGCCGTCGGCGATGTGGACGAGATCCTGCAGCAGCTCGACAAGCAGAAGGTCAGTGCCGCGACTGTATGTGTAGCGTGAATACTTGTGTCGTGTCTCCGACGAACAGATCGATATTCCGAATATTACGAGCAAATTGAAATTCTTCAACGTACCGACAGACGTCTGCTCGACGCACAAAGTATGCAATAAACATAACGAACGGTCTCCCACCGACACCGCCTCACACCGACACCGCCTACAGACTACATTCCACTAATTTAAAACATAACATAGATCATTCTACGAACATTAGACAAAAGATTAAATTTATTACTACCCTTGAATTGTAACCAAACTAAATTCAACTTTATTACTTGTTTGTGAGAGCTTATTTCCGGTTGCCAATGTGGTGGATCCGCACGCGTAAGGATGGTTCCTTTATGGCACCTTCACACTACCCGATACGAAATGAGAGCGTTGTGTGTGTGTGTGTGTGTCGGGTATATTACATCGCTAACATATGGAAGTGAGGCGTGCGAGATATCTACACCACGTGCTAATAGTTAAGACAGTTCACACAATCGCACGCGACGATACTCATTTGGGAATTAACTTCCACAAACTGTACGAACGGCTTTACTAGTGATGTTGCTACGTTTGTAAAAATGCGCTACAAACGTGTTGGCAATGCGCACCGAACAGACATTCCTCCCTTGGTAGTGTGAGCTTGGTTTTGTCGAGTTTTTGTGAATTCCTCGACAATGCGCCGCGCAGTGCTCAGTGCTCGTGTGTGGGGCTCCGCTGTACAGTACACACGGGGGCCGATACACGCTGGTGTAGGGGGCTGCAGCGCGGAACATGTAAATCACTTGCACGGAGTTAATACCACTTCAATTGGTTTGCTTTGGAATCCTTCTGTTTGCTTTGCAAAACGCTTTACCGTAGCGTGCGTCGGTGTAGCGCCTAGTCGAGCTCTATTCGCGCGTATAGCACGATATGTGTTCTATTCTAGTGATTCGGGAATACTTGGTACATGAACTGTTGGAAGGACTACTTGTATTGTAGTTCGATAACTTAACTATTTACTTACTGAACATGTCTGTCTACACAACATGACGAACTTGGACGAAACTTTTATACACATTTCACATTTAGGATCATGAACCGATAACGAACTTTTCTATTAACCTTAATTCTATGTGGCCATTGTAGGAAACCTTTTAAGTAAGTCAGGGGTCTGAAGGACCATTGATACACAAATGTGATTACAAAATGAAGTAGCGAGCGACGGGCGACGTCTGTTGAGGGTTTCTATTCCAACAAACACACAAAGGAGGTCCCGCTTCACGAGACTTTAATTTTGGAATAACGAAACATTCTAAAAATATATTTTAGTGAAATATAAACGGCCAGGACATTGGTGACAGCCACGCCGCGCTCTCTCGTCACCGACAACTCGATACAATAAATTGTGATAGAAGCAGAGTGGTAGTATATGTGTCGCTACTCGCGAACGAATTCCGTGTTAATATTATACGTCTAATGTAACAATAGCTCATCGTACGTCAGCAGGTAACGACAACTTTAATAATCGCCTGTAAACTAAGGGAAATATTACCATAATGCTTGAAATATCGTAACAAACAAGTGAAGTATTTCTTTCAAGTAGTATTATAAGATGGAGGCTGTGCCCTGTAGCCGGCTCCACGACCCGTCCCTGAATACCTCGGCACATAGCGCGGCGGAGGCAGGCGTGCGCGAACATCGCCGGTTGGTATGCGGCGCGCGACGCGACACTCTCCCGCGATTAATATCCAATGCGCGTCCAGTGGGGCGGCCGCCAGCCGCGCACTACAGTTTATGAGCATTATATTCAATGTATTTGTGCTTTTATATCTCTCGCCAATTACGGGCTTAAGGAATTGGATACGTGGGCCGCAGTTGGTTACCAGCTGATGTCGATATAAAAACCGCATTTTGTTCTAATCATATTTCAATGGAATTGATGAAATTGATGTTTCTTGAACTATATTTATACAGCTATGTATATACGGCCTACTTGCTTCATGATATAGCCTCCCTAGCTGCCTCAGATTTCAGTCAGCGATTTACCAAGCAGTCGACGAGCTTCGACAACAATTAAAAGATCTGTGTTCACAGACAACACATCCGATCCACTCGTATATTTCCTATGTAACACGTACGTACAGTAATAAACACTAACACGTACAGTAATATATCACATTTAAGTTCGGTTCTGTTGAATATTTTCCATTGCGTTCTGAACGCAACAAACTGAATATTTCTATAAGTGGGTGAGAGATGAGTTAATCACATGCCGTTAGTGTAATGAGTGCAGTGCGTGTGTGTGTGTGTGTGTGTGTGTGTGTGACGTCACGGCCGCGACCCTGACCCGCGCCACACGTTATTTATTTAAGATCACACACAATGATCGATGTCTACAACACACACATTTGATAACTTTTTACGTGCAGAAACTATCCCCAATTAAGTAAATTGTAAATAAACTTTAAATATTTATTCTTTAAACTATTTATAGAAAGGTCATCTGCGCTTTAGGATTTCAAAACGAGACTGAATTTACTATATTATGTTGTCATAGTGATACTCATGTGCTGAACTTCCCAAATATACGCAAATATTTTCATGATTTATTGTTTAAAACAATGAACACAATAAAGCTGAAAGGTTTTATTTAATAATAAAATGTTCAGGCGTTCACGCCGCGTCACTCAATAAATGGAATGCATACAGTTCGCGCTATTATTTAAACTGGTGTAGTGAAGCTTTCAGCTGAACAATTAAATTCAAATTACAAGCTGTGCCGTTACCGCACAGCGTGCTAGTATTGTTTACATTCCATTGTTGGAGTTGATTCAATTAGTTCAACGAGGTTTCATATCATACATATGTAATTACATACATTTGATTAGAATAATTTCAAATGCCGTGTGCTATTAATACATATTTCCTCTCTGCGCTGTCACCAGACGTGTGCTACGATCGCTTGCTGAAGCGCGACTGTCTCGTTCTCACATAGAGCTCCGCTTTTAACTGAAGAAAATTTTGCAGTGCGCATGCGTGAGAAACAGTGATGGGAAGGTGTCGATAGATTTATTAATTTATATTCTTCTGGAGTTGCTTAAAATGTAGGCGAAAGTATGGATGTTAGATAAGTAAAAAGTTAGTTAACTGTATCTCAAGTAATTAGTAACCTTCGTTAACTATTCAATATTGAAGAAGACTACTAATGCCAAATTCATTTTCCAATTTGTTTCAGCCTACTATTGTTACAATCATCATCTTTCTGTCAGCATCCTAAGTTAATTAACGTCACCGCGAATGTTCTTCCAATTCGAACAAATCGAACATTATTCTATCACAAATTCCTCATTTCTTTCGTATTCACTTACAATAATATGACAAAGTATATCCGTTATTGTCTCTCAATCATCAGTGGATGTTATATATAAACTATTGATTGCATTATCAGTGATAATAATGTATAAATGACTGCCTTATTGGCTGAGTGGTCGCCAGTACGATTTTCGGGCAAGGGGTCTCGGGTTCGATTCCCGGGTAGGGCAAATAATAGCTAGGTTTAAAAAAATCTCAGTAGTAGTACGGAGTCTGGAATTGTGCTCGATAAATGGCAATTATGCCCGTGAAAGTACAGTGGCGTTAAGTGCCGTAATATGCATCTCTGCCTACTCCTTATGGGGATAGAAGGCGTGATGATGATGATTATGATGAAAATAACGTTAATGATGATTTATTAAATACAGAAAAATACTCGTGAATCTTGAAACAAACTTTAACAAAGTGTTAAAACAAGTTGGTAATGTTTTATTTGATTAGGGTATTCCAAAATTTATTTTATAATTGTGACTTAAACCCTATTATATATCATTCATTTTCATTTAGTTTACATGAGTTGCACCCACAGCTGCGATATTTCTGAAAAAAATATCGCTGGAGTTTCATCGATAACAAAACTATCGACATCTTCTGTATCGATACGCTTCCATCACTGTAACTCACCCCACGGCTAGAGTAGGGCGGCGTTGCTAGGCAACGGGGTGGATTGCCGGCAAGCCACACGTGGCGCGCACCGTACCGTAGCGCGTAGCTACACTAGTCGGGACTACCCTCAGTATGGCCGTGACCACGGACCGCGCCGGCGCTGGCCGACGGCCGTTGAACCCAACGTGAACTTGTATGACTATGGTGATTCTGGAACTCCTATCATAAAGCTGATTTCTTAAAAATATGAATATTAATATCATTATGTAAGCCAGTAAAGTTTACACCTCTTTGATAGATAATTTCTAGTTTGTTACTAGGTCATGTTATAGAATATTTATTGATGCCTTGATAAGGTGAAAATAAAAGACTGGGTACCTTTTACCCTGAACACATGATCACGTTGGCAGTAGGCCAGGTGGCTGAACTTACGGCACACTGGGTCAAACCGGGTGATGGTATCTGACAGTCGAATCGTTTAATGTTAACCTTTGTAGTTAGTCATTATTTGGTCCATTACGAACGTAATTAGGAGAACAATTGTTTAAAATGATTCATAGAAACTCTTATTGCAATACCTGATGAAAGACCTGTCAAGTAAACTTTAGCCTAAGTTAAAGCTGTCGCTACTATTTATTATTATAAAACAGTACAGTTAAGTCTTGGTCCTTTGGGGATCGAGAAATTAATTTATAGTTCCCATAACTACAATATCTGTGAATAAGTACAGTTTCACAGTGAGCTGCGTAATGGCCCATTAGGATCACACTAGTAAATCTTGTGATGTATGAACTCATACAGACTGATAGATAGTATGGCAATTGTAAATTAATCACTACTATTCTTTTCCGAAAGGAAACTTATCAGTACACTTCTCATAAATACAGAATTATATTCGCAGAATCTCCCATTTTTTTCTATTTGATGGGACGACATTTAATCACTATCTTGCCTGGTGGTAAGCGATGATGCGGTCTACGATGGAGCACGTCGTCCCATAAGCAACCTATTCCCTCGAGCCTTGAAGACACCCAGGTTACATACCTTTCAAGAAATATAGACCCTGGCAAAGATTTCCATTTTAGTATTGTAATCATCATCAAGTGGCATCACTACCACAGTGTTATTCTGTGTAATTCAAACTATTCCTCATGACGGGTACCTGAGTGCCTGATTTCCTGATTTCTTAGATATAGTTACCGAGCGCAGTGTAGGAGCACTGGCTACACAATAGTAATAATAATATGCCATGTTGCTGGATGTATGTCCCTCGTTGTCTCAGCCGAGCAGCGCGTTACTGTCACACGGCGGACACATGTCAGACGTGTCAATACGACACGTAATCCCAGCTGTGACACGTGTCCAGTAATACAATGTGACAGTTGTACACTACGTACGTATGTACATATATAGTGGCAGGTCTTACATTGCTTGGAACTGGAAATTGTTTAGTTCTGTAGTCGTTGCGAGTAGCGCTTATGATATTTTTCTAACGGAAATACTACAAGGTGCAGTATCCAATCGACTACCGAACCATTTAGCTCAAAATATTGAGTTGCTGTTAACTAGATGTGACCCCTAGCGATGCAATTAACGAAACGAAATATTATTTAATGAACTGACGGTTTATTCAGTGGGAACTCTCGCCGTGTTATGCTTACGAATGGGAAACAACTTCGAGCGGAGTACATACGCCGCGCGCCGCCCGCCGCCCGCACCGCGAACACAAACAAACAAACAACCCAGTCGGCTGTTATTGTTACATTTCACTGTAACATCATCATTTACACCTCAACAGGATCAAATGGCCAAGTTTTATTAATGTCAATATTAGCACAAGTTATTAACATTGAACTCGAAGAGAGCGCCTCTGCTCTCAATATAAAAATGTTAATATTACCTGGCCAGCTGTATCAGCCAGCGTCATTGGAGCTCTCAATATCTAACACAATTATCCTAAATCGTCTTGTAGAGCACTCAAGCGGGGAAGCGAAGTAGTTCTTATTAAGTTGGTTGTTACTCACTGTGGCCGCGGGGAGGGGATCAATAAGGGTGTCGCGGGGTGGGGGGCGGCGGGCTACCAGCTCCACTCGAGCCGGAGCGGCTGCCCGGCGTGGACGTCTCATATGCTTACATTCAGCTACAATTAAACTCGCAGACTCGTATAATGAAGTATTGCTTGGTTGCTCATTAAAGTCGTTAAGCGTATTAATAAGAAAAAGAAAATCGTAATTTACTAACGTATACGTCAATAGTTCCCCTATGATTAAATCGTACTACCTAATTTTGGATTGTCATTTCCAGGCTGTTATCCACTTTGGGTAATGACGACGACACAACTGAATATCGAACATTTGACTAAACATGACCGCGCTCCTTTCACAATACAAGTGAACATGAAGCAGTAACACGCTCCACACTCGTTGAAACTACTCTCGTCCAAGTATTGTGTCAACTTATTCACATCATCCGAGCTCGCTCGCATCATTCCAACTTGTCTGATGTATGCTCGGGTTACATTACCAAACCCTGGCGAGTCTAACATCTCTAATCCTACTTACTTGGGATTACTGGCTCGAAGTTTGAACCGTTGCAGATCGTTAGTGTCAACGTATCCATCGTACAGAGAAAGCGTCGCGTATCACAATAGTTTTGATCATAATGACTTCACACCACAAGCGTTTAATATAATACATACCACAACATCACGTGTTTTATCCCCGAAGGGCGGCACTTTTCACTATTTTATGTTATGAGTCCCATGTAATAGGGGGTGAGCCTATAGCCATATATTGGGCACGATTCTAAACTCCGTGTTACCACTGAGATTTTTTTAAAACCCAGTAGTACTTTGCCCGACCCGGGAATCGAACCTGAGACCCCTTGCCCGCCAGTCGTGTAATATAATCTAATTTGTAATTAGTAATTACTAGTTGTCGGTAGAGAAACATGAGAGTTGGCCGCAGTTATTGCTGATTGACAGTTCCCTGAAACTGAAAGTTTATACGAGTTGATTTAGATCCACTCTAACTCTCCGGTATTTGTGTCTTCGTAAATGGTTAGTGAGATGCCAAAGCTGAAACTGTTTTGATTATTATGATTTCAAATTAATTGAAGTAATCTGGGATCTGGGCTACTAACTAAGTTAAAAAAGGAAACCTTAAAACTTTGATTGACTTAATAATTAAGAATAAGTTCATGCGCATGGGCGAAACTTTAGTCTCAATAGTTTTCTTTTTATTGTTTATAAAATAAAATCAATAGAAGTTCTATTAGTGTTAACACCACAACCAACAAAAACTATGGACAAACTATGCGATGCTACGTTAAGCACGGAGAGCAAGCTCGGCGGCTGAGCACGTGTGCCTTGCTGCTACAACTCGTCCAAACTTAAACTAAACTAAGTCGCTGCTTAAATTGACTCCAGCAACTTGCACTTTGAAGTAACCTCTTTTTTCCTACTTTTGGAGAAAGAAAGAAAGAAATAAATCGGTTTAGGTTGGATTAGACCGGGCCGAGGGTACCGCGACCAGATCTGGGTAATTTAGGTTTAACGAAGGGTTGACATCAGAGGCCGGACCACTTCCCTGTACATTTGTACGTATTGTAATAAGCCGGATAAATAAATACTGGATATTACCGGTAACCTGTATGGGATATTATTCAATTGATTCTGTCCTGTATCCTTTAACTTAAGGATCTTGGTTTCCTCTCATTATTAAGATTAGAAGAAAGTAGCTGGTTTTTTAAGTCGATTTTAAATATGTTCCTTCGTATAATCGCCTAGTGTTTATTATTATTTTAACGATATATAACATGTAATATGAGAGTTGCATATGAAATCACTACTATGTAATACTATGTATGAGTGATGAGATGTATTCTCCCGGGGACTGTGTGCCCGGTGCCGCGTCGTGTGCTGCCCGCGCTATATTCAGCCGTGTGTTAACTTTCGTGGTAGTTCTAACATTGTTGCTGTGATTTCTCTGTCTCCTGCACTTCTGAACAGAACATTATATTTGATTATAAACACTATATACTTAATAACACACAATTGATTTATAGAGAAAGCTTTAACCATTGTTGTTCAATTTACTAAACTGTATTGTAAATAAAACCACGCTAGTCCTATGTTTGGTGTCCTCCGATAGGAAGTAAATTTTCCAAAATATTTTCAAAGCCTATCTGCCGCCATCCGCCATGATGGATTTCCCCGGAAGGTGCTCAACGTGAACCATTGAGCTAGGTGCTATGAATTTTTAAGGCTTCATGCATTTTTTACGGACAAAGCTTCAAACTTGTGCATACGTGTAGCTATGGCATGTGATATTTTCATACATATTCAAAAAACAATATACGGCTTCCGTTCTTGTTAGAATTTCTTGCCTGTATATTATGTACAGTAAGTTAGTGCTGGCAGTGTAAGCAGTAAGGTAAAGTCCGTTAATTTCCCTACTTATGCATACTCGTATTGTTACAACGTTGCATAGTTCTATAACTAGCGGAGTGAGGAGTGAGGAGTGAGGAGTAATGAGCGGAACGAGTCATACCCCACTGTTACAAGTTGAAACTGTCTTCTATTGCTGTTATTGAATGTGAATTGCGGTGTTCGTTCGTTCAGCGGTTATTAATGGGGTTGTTATTTTTAATAGGGGTCTACTACATAACTCAGGACATTATCAAATAGTACAATTCAAATTCTTTAAAATTCCTAATATTTCGGTAATGGAATACGAGACATCATATTTGACATCAAAATTAACGAGTTTTCGATCACTGATAGAGATAAATATATATTTCTGATATACATATTACTCAAATAATATGTACCAACATGCAAAACATTCTATGATTAATTTATATAATATCCCTATTATGTACAGGGAGTACTCCGTGAGCTGGAGCAGAAGAAGCCGCAGCTGGACGAGCTGCTGCACACCGCCGAGAGCCTCAAGGGGACCGAGAACCGGCAGCAGCTGCATGGGAAAGGTAGGACTAGACGTACATCTTTGACATGATGACAGTTTGAGAAAGAAGACAGATTTCTTATTATAATGTGTCCTACATGTGTGTAATAATAGGAATAAGGAGCCAAACGTTACGTAACTTGGTGAACGAATTCCGAATCAATATTTCCCTATCTAATTATGAGTTTGGAAATTCCGTCTGATTTAAAATAATATTTAATCAGTTATCACTTCCACATTGAAACCGTACATCAATCGATTAAAGCTTATAACAATTACAAAAACGATAAGTGCATCAATATCTCAAACCCAAGCACTACCAACACGTATTAAAAGAATTGAGTAGGTCGGGAGTGCAGGGAGGGCCGTCAGTCGTCGCACCTCGCCGGCCGCACCTCCTGATTGGAAAGCTTCGAGAACTAGCTCGCCATTACTTTATACGAGACCATACTAACACTATCTCTGTGTCTCTCTACTACTTTATACAATTGCACGAGGAACTATTATTGAAACTCACACACTTTTATAAAGTTGAGTTTCTATTTCTCCTTTATTACGGTTACAGTGAAAATTATTAAAAGTACTCCTTGCTAGCACGGAGTCTGGAATTGTGCCCGGTATATGACAATAGGCTCACCCCCTATTACATGTGACTCATAACATAAATAGTGAAAAGTGGGTGTTACATTGTACAGTGGCATAATGTGCACCTCTGCCTACCCCTTCGGGGATAAAAGGCGTGATGTTATGTTTTTTACTCCTTGCTTCCTCGCGTGTACCTTTTTTGTCTTTATAAACGCGATCAGCTATAGTAACTACCTGATAGATGAGCCAGTACCACAGTTGTACTTCTCTAAACGAAATTGAAATGAAAATCTGTTTACATAAAACATGTAATCCACTGGAACAAATGGTCGGTTGCTGAGACACTGCGACCGTGTGACGAGTACATACGATAGATGAGGCTAAACTTCGGTATGTATGGGGCGCAAACCCATCTACAATAGTTTACCAATTTTTTCATATAAAATTAATTTTTCACATAATCATCATATCAATAAGCCTATAAGTAGCCACTGCTGACCAAAGCCTCTTCTCATCCGGAAAAGATTTGAGCATTAATCACCACGCATTCTCAATGCGGGTTGGCGATTTCAAACTTATAATTAGAATTATTATTAAAATTATAAGTCCAGATTTCTTCACGATGTTGAACCTATGAAAAAACATGTACCAATGTGTCAAAAAGTCATTTGTATGTGGTGACACGATTCCTGAGTTATTTTTGTTCTGCTTGTTTTCGGATCTCATATTAAATGAAACGGTAATTGGTACTTGGTATTGGTAGGTTTTGAACCTTCATGCATGAGAAGCGTCTTAGACCTCCAGCCCACCACACTACGAATATAAATTAGTCTTTAAACATTGGAAATAATAAAGGTGGGTGAGAGAGTGTACCGGTGTCCTCTTGGCTTCAATTTCAGTTGACGTTAACGTAATCGAATACGTGAAAAATTTACACTCGCACTAGACACTCAGTGGACTCAGTCACCACATTTTATATATGTTTTGAATGCAACTCTAAATAACACTAAAAAAGAAACAGATTTGTTTGTGTCACAGTGAAGTCATTGAAACAAAGGCTCTAACACGACAACAGTCGAGTAACATCATTTAGAAACTTGCTCCAATCTTAGTGCGGAGTTAACCGCCGGACTCGGCTCGGTAATTACACGACGACGCTGCAGCACTTGCACTCGCAGAAGAACAACTCACACAGCGACTAGTTGTTGTGTGAAGTTACTGGAGCCAGCACTATCTTGTTTGTCATTGAGGTCACAATTGACATCGTATTTTTCTTACTGACTCATAACAAATTATTTATTTTAGTCAACCAACTGAGCAAAACCTTTATCTAAGTACATTGACGGTTCAGTTTCTTATGTTATATCATATATACTTACGTATTGTTATTATAGAGTGAACCTTCGCAACCTTCTTGCATGTATCGGACGGGGACTCCAGATATCCTCGTAACCTAAATATAAAGAGCTATGAAAACTGCCTGCGTTCCGACCTCCTCCTCTACTAGCGGCTCTTGTCACGTGCACAGCGGCTGAGTGGGGGGGGGGGGGCTCATTTACGCCAAGTGAAGTCTTTAAATTAATTATAAACGCTCATACGCTGTGACTTATGTAATTTGAACATCATTTAGCCGTGTGTTGCTATTTTGAGTGTATGATAATGTTATTATGTTTGATTTTAAATTTATTAGTAGTGTGCGCTTCTGCTTGATTTTAAACCAAAACATAAGCTGTTTTTGTAATTTCATAAATAATAAAAGTTTTGATAAGAGTTACTAAGACAACTAACTAACTAAGATAGATATTTCCGAAGAAAAAATATAATTACGATCGTAAAATACTTGAATTTGAATTCATAAAAAATCGCCACGCAAAAAGTCGAATGCTCGCGTAAAGTAAACCTGACCCTTAATCTGGTTAGTGCGCCCTCCCGCGGCCCTCTCCAGCCGGAGGGACACGCTTTATGTGAGGAAGAGTGCCTGTTCAAGTATAATCAAGTTTGGGCGCCGAGCTTGGACCCGTGAGCAACTCAAAAGGGACCTTCGGCATAATTGAACCAATTAGCGACGATCTTTAAAGAATTCTTTCTTCAGCTGATGTCGGTATAAAGGTTTGTTTTGTTGTAAACTCGATATAACATCCTCGACAGCCTCGACAGCCGGTAACGAGAGCGTTTACGGATTATAAATGCTTCGGGTTATGATTTCTGATTGCTTTGTCGAACTTCTTCAAAAGTACCGGGTCGGGGGACGGGGGATGGATGTTACAGATTAAAAATATAAAGCATGTTTGAAAATGTACATTTCTTAAGTTTATACACTGTCAGCGTTAAAATTGGCTAACTGTCAAACACCAAGCGGTCACCGGTGACCGCAACCTATTGTTCTTTAATTGTGTCTATAAATACGGTACTCGACGAGTTAAGCATACTACATACATACATAACGAACAAAAGTTAATTCAAATACTAATCTCGTATTTAAACAATAGAGCAAGTAGTACACGCTCAGTCGTTGTAAGTCCACGTAAGCGCATTAGTTACGTTCGCTGTGGCAATGTGAGGCAACTCTAACAAAATGAATCTTACTAACGAAATCCCCCAAGCATTCATAATTCCCTCTTCCCCGGATAAATTGATTCACTCCCTTCCTCTCAGCTGTTGATTATAACCATCCACTAGCACGCAATAATGGACTTTATATTAACATTATGGAGTTGGTTTTGCGATGATAGATTCTCAAGATAGCACCTTGAGGGAGGTGCGATAGAAATTGAATTTTAAATGTTAGACCTTAAGGTGAATAATGGATAGTGTTGCGGAAAGGCGTGCATTCTTGATGGCGCGAACCAGTGCGTCGTTTATAATGTTGGTAACGTTGAGGCACACGAGCACACAGCCACACGACTGCACAGTCACACAGTCACAGTACACACACACACACACACACACACTGATACTACGCTGCTGCTGGTAATGTCCCCGCAGTTACTGTTACTGCACAACTCACTGCCATTGATAAATATCATTAACTTCCAATAAATATAAAACACGCCGCGCCGCTGGACGCGCCGGTAATATATTTTAAAGCGCATAAACAGAGCGTTTTGTTTGGATGGAAAGCAGTTGATGAGCCCTTTATTTAACAGAATGATTTATTTAATAATGGAATACTTAGGGACCACCAGTTAAATTATAATACGAAGTCATATAATGTCATATAATATCAATCAATAATTTCAGTATAGGAGAATAATGTATTACCTGATACTGTACAGTATTGTGTGTAATGTTCAGCACGTAGTGTCGGTATATTCAGGGAGGCTCTCGTATTTCACGCGCTCCCTCGAGGGCCACTTCCTGCTCACCAAGTTACGCAGAATATCTTAATACTTTTTACAAGTTACACATTTCTTGTCTCACAACATTTTACAAATGTAATGTTACACTTTTGTTTCGACTGTATATTTCTGATGTATTTTATTTCACTAAAGTCAACTTTATATGTCCTTGATCGCTATTACCATTGTAATCGTGTACCAACATCTGCCACTAGTACTATAGTAACCATGAAACGTAATTACCGCAAGTTTATCGCCTTTACAATTTATACACGGCTACAAATTACGGTGTTATACTACGCGTAGCGCTTGTAGCGTTGCGTAGAGGGTGGGGCTACGGCGAGGCTACGGCCAGGCTACGGGCTACGGGCTACGAGCTACGCGCTACGTAAGGTCGTAGACATGTGCAAGGTAGTCGCGAGTGGTTTACACAACTGCATGAGTCTGTCTATTATTTTAAATGAATATTGGTAAATCAATTCAAATAAAGTAAAGCTTTACTTAGGTAAAACATTAAACTCAAAAGATGAGGATTTTTGTATGTCATTTCAATAATAAATTTTAGTATAAATGTAAGGCAAACATTAATAAGACAGTAAGATTATAGCGTGCTTACATAGTGGCTGTGGCAATAATAATACAGTACACGACACACGACGACAGGTATTCATACAGCTGCTTAGTATTCCGCAGAACTGCCTGTCTGCTACCTCCACTCACACACACGTCTCCTAGGAACTTAATAACTACACATGTTATTGCTATTCATCACTCTACATATCACTATCATAGACGTAGTTCATTTCTTAAATCGTCATCATTTTCAATTTTTTTAATGTTTTCTCTATCATCACAGAAAAAAGCTTTTACACGTGGTAATAGTCTAAGAGGTGTTTTAAGATTTTTTTTTTAATAGACCTTGCCCCACACTCAGATTTTCTCCTGTGATGACGATCATCATGAAATGACGATCAGCCTTAATTAATGAGACTTAGCACCCACTACGATCATTTAATATTTCTATCAATATAACTTGCTAAACTAAACAGAAACACTCACTTTCACATATTGTAAGTAAACATACAACTACAGTAAATACATCCGAACCTCTCTGGCTCCGTATTTAGCGTGTATCTCTGAAGACATTAAGGCTTCGAGGGAAAGTTCAGACGTATCGTGATTTATTTCAGTCGCCCGCGCCGTAACGACGTCTGCCAACTTTGCTGTAATACAATCGAACCGATATATAACATACCGCTCTGTACCATTTATTTGTTATGTTCGCGCCATCATATTGTGTGATGTGTATGTATGTATGTGAAAAACTTCGTAAAGGACTAATGTTGATATGAGTCTATGACAGGGTTATACGTAGTGAAACGTAGGACGTGTTATAAAATAAAATGTGTTTTAATTCGAAATTAAGTTATGTTTGAGTACATGTTTTAGTTTTAAAGTTACATTCTTACATTTCTCAAATCATTTCTAAGAAACGAATGTTCTCGACATTACTGTTCGTGCACATTGATCGACCACACGACAGAACCAATTTAAATGTCTAAATATAAAATATAATATAACTGATTGTAATTAAAACTCTTGGTTTGTGCTGTAAGTACCGAGTCTATCGGTAACAGTTCCAGGTACAATTAATTCCGCAAACATTCATTTGTTTGAAGTAATCGTAACTTAGTGCTTACTTTGTAATACGAAACCGTGAACTTAGCTCTGTGTACTTACACATAGCAGATGTACTTCAGTATAATGGAGGAGAGACAGTAATACTTGTATCATGTGTCAGCACTAGTGAATGATTAGCAAAGTTTTTAAATATTACTTAGCGAATAATATTGTAATGTCGTATGTTGTGGCGGCCCGGAGGTTAAGACGCCCGCTTCTCATGCATGAGGGTGCGGGTTCGAAACCTACCAACGGCAAATACCAATGTGACTTTTTCTGAGTTATATGTACTTTCTAAGATTATTTAGACACCACTGACAAATAGTGAAGGAAAATATCGTAAGGAAACCTGGACTTATAATATCTAATTATAAGTTTGAAATCGCCAACCCGCCATGATGAAGCGTGGTGATTAATGCTCAAACCTTCTCCGTATGAGAAGAGGCTTTGCTCAGCAGTGGGCATTTAATGGCTGTTGATCAATATTGTAATTTCCCGCAGATTTGAGCAGTATGGCACCACTATAATTGCTTATTAGAAATGGTCCATTCGGTTATTATAGAATCACTGAAGTACTGAAACTAATAGAACACGATTCATATCACGCAATTCAGCAAGTTGTCAATTAACATGAAATTCAATATTTCAAACACGGGTCTCTACAAATGCAACGAAATAGAGATCAGTGGTGTGTGTTTGCAATACACGAGTCAATAACATTACTATTAACGTTTAGCATTGCTAATTAGCTCTACACGCTCTACACACACTCTATGCTCTCTACGTGTGCTACACTGCTCTGTCTGTCTCTACATGTGAATAGTGTTGTGTTGTTGCGGTGTAGAGTGATATAATTGCGATACATTGGCACAACATTAATATTATTCAATCTTAGCAGTTATATTCTGCTTTCTTAGTTCAAAGTTGATGATGGCAATGTTTTTTTTTCAAATATCTCAAACGATAATGAATTGTAAATTATAAGATAATTTATTTAAATCACCTTCTGGAAATGGATAAATTTACTTGGCCACCTAATACAGATAAAATCCACCAAAACCTGAATACCACAAATGGTATGAAAACATACATATCTGGAACAGCCTCAAAGGTTTTCCACTTCATTTGCAGCGAGTACCGTGAGACTGTGTGAGACCGCAAGCCCACAGTACTCGGGCAAATACTTGGGCAAAGTTAACAAACTAGAGCCTCCGTCTGCGGGCAAACCTTGGAATAGCCGCGAGTGGCTATGGCTGCCATACATAGACCATAAATAGAAATAGCCTCACCCTTGGCCCTTATGGCCGCGTACTATTATAATAACTTCAGTCTGGCTGTCTGTGTGTCTACTTTATGTATATTGAAACAGTATTGTTTGTGTGTTTTCTGTTTTATTTACTGATCGTTCGGAGCTAACAATACATTGATCTCATAAGTTTTGTGGAAATTGTCTTGAGTAAATAGCGCAATGGTCTATGAAGTCAATAATATGGGCCCAGAAATAGTCTCGTAAGAACCTGTTCTCTCCTATCTATTTTCTATTTATAAAATTCAATAATTCAGTTCATACTTTGCAAAATATGAGTGTTTTCGTACGCATTTTTTAACGATAAATTAAACACAATACAAAGAATTATAGCAGCAATTGAAGTATGTACTATTATTCCTATGAAGCTTCTGGCTTAAGATTGTTCAGAGACGCGATGAACTTACAAGTGACACTGTAACTGCAATTATTGGCTCGGTCTCTGTCACTGAACGCATTGTGTTGGCTCCTGACGCAGCTGGTGGTGGTCAGGTGTTAACCTTCAAGTGGTCCACAATCAGGAATGAAGCCGAGCATTATCGCGGCTGTAAGGAAACGTGATCGTTAACCTATATAGCGGGCGCTGGGGCAGCCGCGGCGCGCCGCCCTTCGTCAGTCGGCGCCCGCCCTCCGGTCCGCACGCACGCGCGCCGCCTCCCCGCATACCCCGAGATAATGTGCCGCGACCGCCCGGTCATACTAATCTGAGGCCTATACTAAACATATCAGCTTTTTAATTATGTATTCTAGTGTTTTAGTGATAAGGTGTCATTTACAACGAGTTAGTGTCGGTGAGATGGCATAATGAGTGAAGCATTGTGATCACGGTGAATAGTTGGGATTCGTCTTTTGTTGCCGGTTGCCGTGAATAAGCTTTTACTTTTTTGTTAAACTTCGTTTGGATTTTTATAATACATTTTATAAATGTTCTATCGTCAACAGTAATTAATGTTATTATAAGATTACAGTGTGAATCTCCTCCACGTACGTAGGTTGATGTACCGGGCCGCGCTTCCTGGCTGTTATCAGTAATACTTAGTAATTAGATTAAATGATTAGCTTGACCTGTGCCAACAGGTGACTGCTGAGTGTTCTGTATCGAGCATCTAATGTTACAACTAATTAAGTGTCTGTACGTACAGTAGCAGTAGTGTGTGCGCCGGGGGCACTGCATTATCTTGTTGTTCTTTTCCAATCAGAACACGAGAATATTTCCTTGAACAGTAGATAATGCATGATGCTGTAACACATTAAGTACGTGTCGTAGAACTTGTTGCGTCCTGTGTGTACTGAGACGCCTGTAATTAATTGTTTCCCATATATTCAGGAGTTTACGAGTGTGCTGTAAAGACGCGGTAAATTATTCAAGTTTCAGGTCGTTACCGGCTGTATTCAAACTGAACGACTTTATATATTTTAATTGGAATATGTACTAACTATGTAACTGCTTCATGTAAACTCCGGCTGAATGTATTTACTTTCTGGAAGTTTTACTTCTGGAATATTAGTGCAATGCTCGCAGATGGTTACGTCTACCGATCTCGGGTTCGATAGCTAGGTCGGTCATTTTTCTTTTAATCAGGAACATCTTGATACTATACTATGACACTGTTGCCCCTAGCTGCCGACTGATACCATCGCAATAGTTTTAGCGATTAGTGAAAACTTATGAGAACTTAATCCGGTTGTGATATATTACTTGATAGGTTAATGGGGTAAGCTTTGTTTCAGACTTTGACAGTATTGTCAAAGAAGCAGGCTACAAATACAAAACTCGGGTCACGGAGAGAACAGAACAAAAATAGACTTCGTTTGATCTCTTATACATATGTAAGTGAGGGAATTATGTGGTAATGTTATATGTTTACATTACCATAGTGATGTTATTGGTGTGACAACACACACACACACACACACACACACACGCTCTCATTAACTAATTACATTTCGTCTTCATTACGCATAGCTCGGCGAGTAGCGAATATTGTGTGACGACTTCAAACACAACATCATCACTTACTTACGTTACGGTTGATGCCTGAAGAGACATATTTTTATTCGCAAGACTATAAACCAGTAAAATATTTCACATAGAAATATTATTGTAACCACATTCATACTGCCAGACCATAGTCCTGAAATCGGTCATAACTTCTTCTATTGTACAAACGACAAATATTGACACACGAGGCTGTCCACTGCTTGTGTGTGAGCCCCGTCAGTTGTCTGTCGGAAAGGTTCCACAACGTGTGTACCGCACAACGACGGAATTTCCCCATAATTGGGTTTTAGACCGTAGATAGCCAGCGGCCTGTAAAAATGCTGACATTCAGCCACACGCTGGCAACACTGTAAAAGGACTGAAAAGTCCTTTGAGTGCGATGAATAGAAAGTATGCGTCCTTTAGAGGTTGGTGCAGCGTCGCTTTATTTAGTGGATGCAAATGACGTCGACATCCTTCTATAGTATATCTTGAGGAGAAACTTAATAATAGTTTCCTTTGAGTCGGGACCGCGGCGAGAGCGCGCTAATCCCGGCGGCGGCTGAGCGGGCACGTAGCGGCCACGCAGCGTGGCGCCTCACGCCGCCGACACGGTGCCGCTGCATTATCACTTTGATTAGTTCGAGAGGGAAGTTCTTATCACTTCGATCTTAAGATTAAGAACACATTCATAGCTCAAACACAACTATATCTGTATCTGTTTGTGAATTATTTAGTGATAGAGGATTAGTATCACGCGATCCGCGAATAGATACAATTAATAGAAACAAGGTTATGAATGGAAACTGTATCTGTTAATATTTGGGCTCTATTATGAAAGTAGACCCGAAACAAACTTTTAACTGGAAATTAAACTGAATACCAATTAACTAGTTAAATTACAATTTAAACCCGTTTACGAGTGTGGCAGACGATGTCAGAAGTAATTATAAGTTTATCGAATATGTTGGGCGTTACCATCGACTGTTAGTGCCGAGTTATTATCTGCCTCATTACTGACTAATTAGTGTAGTCAGTGGTCCATTGTCAGGCAGTCAGTTGGTGCCACTGCGACTCCAGTCAAATAACAGCTCCTGTGCTTTTTGCGTTCATTCCAAGTCACGATTTTCAATAACATGAACTTGCTGTAGAACGATGCATATCTTGAAACATCACCAGTTTGCCGACTGTGGTCCTTCAGTTAAAATAATCCCATAAACCCCAAGGAGAATAATTTTCAAACAACAATTTCATTGCATTTCAAATACAGTAGACGTACAATAAAAGCTTCTACAGCAGAGAAATAAATATTTTTATCATAGAGGTACAATGTCTAGGAAAGAATATTTTGTTACCAGGAAAACATGAGTTGCGTAGAGCAATTCTGTGTGAGCAATGAGCAATCCTTCTTCTGGAACAACTCGGTATCATCATAAAGAGAGGATCGCTTACCCACTCACCTACTTTCTGCGATAAGCTGGGAGACGCAAGCGATGCAATTTGCAAACTGTTACTCACACACGCGCACTGTCGCTGATGCCAGGAATGGGAGATAGAATGTATATATGTCTGTGTGTGTTCACAGGGAAATATATCGTTCTACATATTTGCATCATTGTCATACTGTTTGTTCTATAGCAGTGTGACAACAATAGAATTGTGATATAAGTTAACACACCTTCTCCCTATTTTACCAAAAACTTCTTAAAAAATGTACACTTAGTACTTGATATAGTTTGTGTCATCTGGCATCATAGTCATTACCAGTCCCGCCCACTACTAGGACATATGTCTCTGCAATAGCACGTCACTAGGCTGGATCTTCATTTAACATATTCCCATGATCCTGTTAACCGTTAAAAGCTATAAATATTTATAAAACATTAGATTTTCCAAGATCCGCGTTCTTACAACCCACGAATCGAAGACGAATCGAATTCTTATAATTTCAAACAAACAGCACTACAAGATTAGGTGAACATATAAACAAATACAATTCGCACGTAAACTATCTGTCTGTCCGTCTGTCTGTGTGTCTGTCGATATCACTAATATTAGTGGGACGCGCTGAAACGTCTGACGGGAATAGACCGCGCTAACTATCGATCATTTGAGTTGTATTCAGTACTCGAGTGCAGGCTGACTAGTGGCTGGTCGGTGGGTGGGTGCTGTGGGGTCTGTTTGTTATTGCGATCTATTGAACATTACAATACATACAAATTAAACTAGGTAATTTGCAAATTGTTTATCATTAGTCTAACATAGATACATACATGGCAGAAACTATGGACCGCCAATTGTTACGATTCTTACATACCTCTTTCGCTTCATTAACAGTCATCAATCGGGAAAAAAAGCAAAGATTTCGTCTAGCAAATGCAATTGTCCAATTGGTAAAATGTTTAGTCCTGGTATGGGTACAACTAAGTTTTAGTCTAAGCACAGTATCTGCAACTGGTCCATTGCACTTTGATTTACTTAGCTCTACTTACCTCTTATGTTAATAGTATACACAATCAAAGTTCTATTAACGTGAAGGAAGAAATGATCAAAATCTTAGTTTTAATTTCAATTCCACTTTCGAACAAGGGAGCATTACGTTGGGGCTGGGAGAGAAGTTGTTCTAATTTAATTAAACAAATATTTCAAGTCGCGCCTTGTTAAGCCATTTACCGGGTGTTCAGCTCCGGTAACTGTTAGTACCTGGGCCTGGTACTAACAGTATACTGGTACACAGCCAGGTATCTTTAGGACCTCATTACTATAATTATAACAATTCATCTTCAATGTATTGTAATCAGATGTCAAACAAATTATAATTCCCAATGTTAAAAATAAATCGTAACAAGAGCTACAATCATAAGCTAAATATATAAAAAAAACCAATTGTTCAGTTTCGTGGCCAGTGAATAAAAATTTGCTTTTACTTATTGTCACTGCGAAATCAAAGGCCGACAACTATGTATATCATAAATAACAACATTCGATTAACTCAGTACACACTCACACAAGCACGTCTCAGTCACGTCTTACCTGTAAACACACAGACAGACAGACACAGTAAAACGAGACAGGTGACAAATGATCAGGTATGTGAGCAGCATCACTGCGCGGCGCGGCGCGGTGCGGTGCGGTGCGGTGCGGTGTGGTGCGGGATCGAAGCAATATCTCAGCGGTGCGCGCCGCTCGTTAATTAACTTAGTACTCAGCCTATTTACTGAAACTATCGACCAGAACACCTCTACTCCCGGAAATGTAGTCTTAGATATCTATGTAGTAAAGAAAATATATTAATTAGGATTCACTGAATGAAACTCAGAATAACTGAAAATGGTTCACGATTTGAACTCCTTTCTCATTTAGTCAACTAACGGTTCACCGACCTCTAAAAACAAAATTTGCTGATTACTTTCTTCTCAAATTTTAAACATATGTACTTCACTTTCATATAAAAGATAAACATTTCTCGTCCACTTTCGATCCCCTAGTAGCAGTTCTTCATCAATCTGATGAACCATATTCCACTTTAGCCAAAAATACATACAATGTTAAAAAGTTAATAAATATTTCGAGTAAAGCCCTATCTGTACAGGTTCAGTAATCTCTTTACGATAGCTCCGTCGCCGGCTGAGATTTATTTTTACTTGACTAACACAATTTTCCTCAAGTTCCCTGCAAGCAGTGATAACCAGCTGTTACACCGAGATACCGGCCACTGTTACATTTGTTCTGACACAATTACCTCCCAGATACTGATTTCAATGAAAAAAATAACAACTATTGTTTTTATTTGAAAATATTTAATTTCTACAAACCTACCTGGGAAACAAACTACTGTATAGTACTCACACGATTGGACCCTTCACGGTCGTTGCAAATAATGATATGTACGAGTTTGTATGTATGTATGTATAGAGTGGCGGTCAGCACTCTTATTGCTTTGGCAATTGAAGTTGCCAAAACGTGCAATCACGCGGTGCTCGGCCAACTCTCTAATGTCTGAGATATGAACAGAATTATAGAGTTGTTTGTCTTTAGATAAAACAAACAAAAATATTAAAAGTATCCTATTACTTCAAGCAAAGCATCTTTATCAAAAGAAAAGCGACTGCCGATATATTCAGAAGTAGTAAGGACTATATACTTAGCATAAATCTCTCTAGGTCTTAGTGTCGTAGAGCGATAGTACTCATGGCGGCCAGACGAAGTATTGCTGCGTCCACTCGATATTCCTGTCGCATGAGCTCCACTATCACTAGAGATGCAACATACACTTGTCGATAAATATTCAGCTTTAATTTTATTTTGAAAAGGTTTAAAATAAAACACAACGTCTGCACCACATTAACCAATGATACACATAATTCTAATTTTAATAGAATAATAAAAAACAAGATATTAAATCCCAAAGTAGATCCTAACCAGCCTGGGCACATAACGAGCAGTTATTTTCCTAACATTTATAGCGCACGTAAAACACTGGTATTCACAGGTGAACTACTATTTCTTTATAACATTTATTTTTAACAAGTCGACTGTTAATCTCAGTTTTATAGGCTCTCAATCCGCTGTATAAAGATGCGAAATGTCTTGTTGGATTATTTTTCTTTTGGCTGTTTTGAAAATCAATCATGTAGTGGGTCTTATACCCTCTGTATATTATTAATGAGAATATGATCGATATGATATCGATGTACCGCCGGCACTAGGGTAGCGGCACGCCTCTTGGAGAGTGTCCAGGCGGGGCCAGCTCAATAAATATGTATGAATCGGACATGTCGTGTTTTATAACGGATAATATTATGATTATTCCGGCCGGGACCACTGACCACACTCCGGGAACACGTCTCACGTAAACACGAAACACGCCTGTAAAGGTTTATTTTCGAATTATCATAAATCCTTTATGATTTATGGCGCTAATAGTAAAATTAATACTGTGTGTTGTTTTATAGTCGCCATGTTAATTTACCGTGGCCGGGAACGATAAAAGTCACGTGTAACTGCCACTACATTGTCCGCGGACTTTCATTAACGTTACAAGTATACATAAAATGATTCTGTAAAGGAGCCTCGCTGAGGTTATTTCCGTACTAAAATCTATTTCCTTTCATCTCCGGTAAAAATGTTTGTAATAAATGCTGATTAAAACTGACGGCACAAAAACTCCAATCTCTTTTAGGGAGCGAGTCTCAAAGGAATTCTGGAATTTTAGTTTACAATGTCGTTAATTGGACGATTTTAACTTGGAATATTACACGGAACTTTAAGTAAAATGTCTTTTATTACACGAAGAGTGCTTTACGATAAAGTTAATTTATAAACTGTATTTGTCTCAAAAGTCTTTAGCTGCGACTCTACAATTAGTAGCATGTATATTGTAATTATGTAGGCAGACGAGGTAGTATTATTTATAGATTTTGCTAAAAATAGGTAAAATTATGTAAGTATTACGGTGCAGGCAGACAGTGATGTGACCTCACCTGGCTCATCACGGCCGCATCACGTTTGGCTCGGGCACAACTACACGAATGACAATTTAAACAAGCAATAAATCAGTCGACACCGTGTCTCGTGCGGTGTGTCACATCACTAGTACGCGCGGTGGGCGTGGCCGGCAGCCACGTGCCATTGTTTACATCGTGACGTCACTAATGGGGGATTACTAACTCTTTGGGGGATTTAATTTAATGTTTTTTTAATGCTTCGTTATTTATATTGTTCTTCTGGCAGCCGGACACGTATTCCCGTTTCTGCATTTCTACTTGATCGATCGTGTTTTTGTACGTAATGTTGTTTATTTTTGTACTTGTAGAATGCGGTAATATGAAAGTCGTAAATTACAATTTGAATCCTTCATTTAAACGTCGGACACAAGCTTCACGCTGTTTATCGTTACTGCGCTACACGGCTGCCTGCCCGGCCGCCGGCCGCCGGCCGCCGGCTGCCGGCGGCCGCTGGGCGGCAAAAAGTTTACAATGTCTATGATTATTACGGCGCCGTTTTTATTAATTCATGCCTTACATTTTGATGAATTATTAAACAAAAATAATTGCTTCTGCATATTTAACGGAAAATTGTTATAAATATTAATTAACTTGGAGGTTCTTTTGTTGTTTTAATTCTAGTTTTCCCTAAGACGTTAGATCTACAAACCAAAATTGTATATATGTATAATATTTCAACTTTGTTTACTTTGTGTAACATTGGCTCGGTGTTGTATCGTTTATGTTGAGGTCTAGTAAAGTCACAGACAGTTTATTTCCAGTATTTAATCATACATTGGAGGGTGCGTCCTATTCACATCGCAGCTTGTTAAAACAGTTCAACGCTGCAGTAGCTGTCACCGAAGGCCCACTGTGTATAATATCCTTTCGTTACTGAATGCAATTTTGTATCGATTACGTTTCCGTCCTACACACGTTTTCTCGTATCTTCTTTATACCAGTCTTCACCAGAAGCAATTAAGTGTGAATTTCAAATTGCATGCATAATGCAAAATGCAGCTCGATCGGTGTTATCTTACTTGCTCTCGTGGTAACGGAGGGACATCGAAGTGTTAACATTGGTCAGCCATTACTGACGCTGCACGATCTTCTTTCTTTGTTACTTGTTAGTAGGGTGACTAGACTGTACTTTTTACCCGACTGTTTGGTTATTGATTGGTTTGATTCCAGTTCCTAGTGATATTACTATTTAGGTTTTGGCTTTACAAAATACTTGACATTTGTACGGGAGTTTGTTATTCTGCCAGGTATGTCAACTTTCGACTTTTGTTTTATAATGGGTTTTGTACCACAATTGGCGATGGACTTGGTGTATCAGTACTTTGCACTTTCGCTTAACTCTTTCGGACAATGAAAGGTATGTTTCCTGTTAGTACTGGTTCTTCTGCTGCATGTGTATGCAGTGACCGACGTAGTTATATTACGTCGCGTCGGTCGTAATGGCCGCGCGTCAATATAACCACCGGCCGCTGAGTATGAACAGACAGACGCTTCATAATGATGAGACTTCATTGATAGTACAAACATATCCAAACATGAAATTTGTGCGTGTGAATGTTGTAGCAAAATATTTAAAAATGTTAGAGATCTTCTTCAGATGCTAGTGTTTATAAATATCCACGTACTTCGGAAGATTAACCTTCACTGTCAGTCAGTTTGGCACGTGATTTCCAATTGTTCCAAGTTTTTCCAATACTTGTACGCAAGTTCCCGGCGAGCCAGCCAAGCCGTCAATCATTGGACTTGCATAAAACATTTGCATCGAACACGTAATTGTGGAGCGGAGCGGTTTTATACCCAGCGTCACGGCGACGGGAATAAATCCTCGTAAAACTATGATATACGACTCATACACGCATGTATACATACACTATTATGTGTGTGTATGTTGGCAGGAACAGTTGTGAGAACAGCTGTGGTAGTACCACGAAACCAGTGTATTGCTAAATACCTTCAAATCACATATAAGTAGTTTATGCAAATAATCATAAAGTTTTATATACACATTAGTATCAGTACCATAAAAGATGTCACGTAGTTTATTATTATTTTTATTATTTATAAAAGTTTAGAAATAAACGTTTTGTTTGAATGGATACACACGTACTTACAATATGATGATATTAACACACAGTCGCGTTGTGTCAGTCTGCGTAGGTACCATCTATAGTATCAATAAGACAAGCACGGCTCTCTAGCGCGTGAACAAACTTTATATGACGGTATTGCGCTCATTCCAACCTATTGTCGGCATCTGCGCGCCTCCCGGCGTCGGCTAATGCGCGCTTTCTTGTGAGGACCCTCAGCCCTCAGCCCTCCGTGTTGTGGCCCATGTAATTGATTTCGTTAACGATAATATCTCAGTATTTGGGCAACAAACGCTCCCTGATGTTGTAACAAGACGACAAATTACTTTACACTAGCGCTTGTTTGACTTTAGTTAATACAAGCTGGCGGCATGTGTAACTGTTTGTTCCATCACTTCATTGCTACCTACTCATGTATATAGAGAACCATAATACCTACGTGTAGGTACTTAATATTATATTAATACAAAACAAAAGTAATCAAACAACACATGTTATACCAGTGTGTCGACTGCTGACTGTCAATAAGTTATACATAACCAACCATAGACCTACGGCACTATGATATTCATACATTACCAAAATTCCCAAGTGTCACAACCAGTACACATAAGTTAATAACATCACTATCACTATATACTCGCTAAGTGATCCATTATAACATAATTTGTGGCAGATACATTAATAGTATCAACACTACGCTCTTCATAGCGTTTATATACTCGAGTATATCTCAATATTTTCCTCACGAATTTAATCAGGAGCATGATATAATATGAGATACTTTTAGCATTGATATGTCCACTTAATAGTGACGTATTTAGCAGACGTCTCACTGTTAGTATCTGATTACTGATCAGTATGCAGTGCAGGACTATCTGTCTGTCCACTCCCGCTACGATATAATACCCACTACCCAATGTTCTCTGCCACTCATAGAGATATTCGCTGAGAGCACATCTATTGTTGAGGCTACATAGATGATCTATTATTACGTATTCATTGGAAAAGAGTCCGAGGAAATGAAGTCTACGTCCATAAAAATAGGGACATGAATTCATTTTAATGAGTTAACTAAATTAACTGAGTGATTTAATGAGTTATTATGTTTCATAATATTCCGATTTGATCGTTTATGAAATATCTACAGCAAATATTAAATTTTACAGATTGGTTTAGCTCTAATTACAGCGCTAATCCATACTTTAACAATTAATGTTTGTTAGACAATAATGTGCTCAATGACCAGTACTATAGAGTGCAATATTAATTGTGGGTGACATGCAATGAGTTATCACCTCTCATAAATAAATAGTTAGCTTAGTGGAACATAACACTTGTGCATTCGATTACTGCTTTATTAATGTCCAGTTTCATAACCTGTTCAATTTCAATAGTTAATTAATACGATACAAAAACCAATTATTATTTAAATGACACAATTCTTGTATGATTAAAGTGGTAAAATTGTTGTCACTCAGGCACTAAATAGAAAGTGATAATTTCTCTACAATTTTCACTTATCTTCTTACTTTTCAAAAGTAACTAACCATCGATATACGTGTACAAACTCTATAACTACTAGTTCCCCAGTAATTAGACATCGATTGGCGTAACATTAGTGTTGTACCATCACGTCGTGTGATACTCGATGTGTCAATGTGTTGTATCGGATCGCGCGGCGGTGCGCGGCGGCGGGTCAGCAGATCGGAAATAACTTCCGATCGATATTTATATCGATACACGAGTGCTGGATCCACGCCAGTCGTCCATATTGATAGTTAGCTCACATCGTAATATATTAAGTAACACTCTGAAATGTCCAATTTATCAATAACCTGATAATAGTCACTTGCCTGATAACTGTCGAAGTTTTCGAAACTCAACTTACGGACTGATAAACAAATGTTTTAATTGTTAATTTTTATTGAATCTCGAAAGTAACTTATAAGTGTAAATAAGTAAGAAATCATAAACTTAGTTGAGAAACATACAAACTTCGTACTTGGACTTTGGACTTTAAAATTTTATCCATACACTTTTGCGTACTGTAGTCTCCATGATATGGCTAGTCTGTTGTCTGTCGTGTTTGTAGTGGTATTTGATTGAGGTCGACCCGTGCAGTGTGCACTGTGCAGGCTGCACGAGTGTACGTTGGTTTGTACACAGTTTTTACTGAAGATGTGCCTTCTGGACACTGTATTGTTGAATATTATGACCGGGGTTATGGTCTCGTAGCAAATCAATTGCAACCAAATTTTGTAATGCAAGGAGGGTTCATAAGTTTGTTGAAGTAGGTATAGAGGTAGGTGGTAAGATCATTTCTACTTGATTTTAAACTGAAATAATGGAAGAATAAAAAAAAATTAAAACGGAATTTCTTCAACAAACCAAAAAAGAAAACTCTGTTAAGATATTTAATTAATAATATAAGTTAATTATAATAATTACGTTTGAAATGAAGTCAGTATCAGTTGAAGAGTTAATTAGTGTCGTTGAAACAAACAGTGAGTCACAACAATATGTCATAGTTAAAACTGTCGTAGAACTAAGTCAACTAGCGGTGTGGCGGCGCGGCGGCCCGCCAGTTACCGGGGCGGGAACCAACTCGGTGACATCTCTCTCAGCGAGGGTTGCTCGATGGTTCGGCTGTTAATTGTCGTTTTAATTAGGGACAACTATTTATTTTATTTAATTATCCAATCTATCGGTGGTCTTTCAAAGGCCTGATAAGTAAGGTTTCGATAAACTGAGCAAAGTATCAGTGAGTTCATCAGTTTTATAAACTTCTTCGTAACTTCAATTACTTGTATATATAACTTATGACATCATTATTGAAGAATATGACCTCTGTCTAATAGTCTCTTATCTAACAATTATATATAAAAAAAAACATCAGGTGTTTTAAACAAGCAGATTCTGTTACTTTCTCTATAGTTTGTAATGTAAAGAGAACAATAAGGATTACATTTCCTAATGCCATCAGCAACAAAGACCGCGAGCTCATAGAGTCCGGCTCATTACCAGCGCAGTGTGGGCACTGCGTCGCAACTCACAACTCGCACGTAAAACTTCACAGCGACTTACGTAAATACGTTACGGGCTTACGGGCAAGTTGTCGGGCAAGTACCCAGGCAAGTACTCAAGCAAGTGGGGGCCTCTAATTACGAGTAATGACCGAACTTCGGAACGCCTCGAGTGTCGTGTTGGAGAGATAATGAGCGCTGATTGTTCCTGCTTACCCTGCGACGTCGTGCCGGCTAGCGACACTGTAACCCCACTCGTGTAGCAATAGACGCCATAAGGGTCTAACGTCTATTATTCAAGTTCTGTTAAGTTATGCGCAGACTGATTGTATTTGTAAGACCCAAATTATTAGTAACTTGTAATTAGATACTAACACTACACAGTTGAGCAGCTCGCTCAGCACCTACTAGTGTTCAGAGCATTTCTAAACAAATTTAATTAAAGCAGTTTGCTCGAGAATAATTTGAAGGCATGTTTCTGTAGCCGCCTACTCATAACCCGACCTCTCTCAATGCTGTTAATGCATGCGGCTGAATTATTTAGTGAACTAGCTGACTGTACCATTACACCTACGACGTGGAGGAGACTCTCACACTGGTATTGTTACATTTGCGAACATTTTGATACAATTCAATTTCACTCACTATGCCATAGTGGTCTGAGAGCAGATCAGTGGTACAAGTGACGTCATAACAACTATCCCCTGTGTTTCCAGCTTATATATTTGGTTGTGAATGTTTTCCTATAAATATATTTCACAATAGAAGTTAACGTGACAGAACTTTTTAAAAATATATAATCAAATAAGTATATAACTCTGTGTATTCACGACTTTATATAATTATATCCACTATTTGTGTAGAACATTTTAATATTCAGTGTTAGTGAGTGTACGTTTTGATGTATTTATAATATTAAAAAACAAAAAAGCAACAGTAAATAATGGCCCAACCACCGCAACAAGGCTTTGTACCTGAAAAGGTTCAGGAGTTCAACCGGAGGGCCTCACAAGATCTCTCTGAGGCGTCTATCCCTCACCAAAAGCTTCGTCCTCAAGAGACGCCTAAGAAGGAGGCACACCAGAATGGAACTGACAAACAGCCGGAGAAGCCAGTCAGGGAGGAGAAACCCAAAGTGGAGACGGGGTACGCGTCGAGACAGAACCTGGAGAGCAAGAACCCATTCTCTCCAAACTTCTACCGAAACAGTCGTCCTCACGGCCACTTCGAGATGGGGCCGCGTGGCCTGGACTACTCCCCGCACAGGATGGGGCTGGACTTCTCCAACCGGCTGCGGGACTATGGCCCTCAGAGGTCCACCTCTATTCACGGACATGAGATGACTGACGCTCCAATGAAGCCTGAGTACCTGGGTCACCGCAGTCACTTCGGTAGTCAGATCGTGCCGGGGGGTATCAACCACCCTGACGTGGTGTTCCGACACGACTACTACAGCCAGATGGGGTTCTCTCCTCCTCGCGCGTCAAGGTTCTCCTCGCAGGAGTACCTGAACGCGCCAGCTCAGTACGGGCGCTGGCCCGACTACCGACAGGAGTACCGCCAGCGCCGCCGCTCCCAGCAGGACCTGCACTCACTCGGACAGAGTCCGGAAACAGGTACTCAATCAGTAATGACAGCTTCTGTTTTATATAATTACAGCAAGACTTCGTACTTTGTTTCTCACTAGTAAACTCTACAATTTTGTTACAGCTCACCTCGACAAAGTCTAAAAAGCTTTCGCGTTCATAAAACCATCTAAAAAAGTTAGCTCGTCGCCAGAATCGTGTTTATAGGGCCGTCAGATAAGATTGGCAACACTTACACCGCCGGGTACAAAAGACCTCTAATCTGAAAGTACCAAGAAAAGAAATTGGAATTCTTTTAATAAAAGCTCACAGCAAAAAGTTACAATATCAAATATAGGAATAAAAGTGTATATTCTAATTTCGCAATCAGGAAATGCGAGGGCAGGTGGTCCAATAATCCGAACTCACCCACTTAACCTGAAAATGTTTGCTTAAAAATTTTGTTCCGGTAATCCTTCGAATATTATGTAGTACGTGGCAAGATCGTGTAAGTTCGGCTATGTTCGGCTGTGCCTCGGCATTAGCCGACGCGTCACTCCTGTATGACTGATGTATAGTCGACAGCAGTAGGCGCAGCGTCCGCCTGCGACTCCGACATGATGGAGTAACGAAATACATATTTTCTTTGTAAGAGTGACAGCTTCGAAAAGTTGAACCGAAGTTTGATTGAATCTAATGCTATTTGTTGTTGACGGTTTGTGGAGATATTGCATTCAAAAGAAGCACAAGAAGGCTAATGATGTCACAAGCGGAATGTTTCATTCACACCAAAATCCTTGTTTATAACAATATTACCAAAATATGGTTTGTACGAGCCGAGACTCCTCGACCCTCGTAAATATTACTTCGGAAATATCGTTACATAAACCCTTCCACTAAAATACATCGAATTGTTTCGTATTAAGCAACCATTAGAGTTAAATCGTAGCCGAAATGAATCGTAAATTTTGGCTATATAAGGTTGAATATTGGGTGTAGGGTGAATGCGAGATAACACTTTATGTGATGGTCGTGTAGCGCAGGTGATCGGTGGAAGTTTGAGCGATACTTCACGTGGTGTCGTACTGTGAGCGATCGACGCGAGCCGCGAGCATGACGCCGATATAACTTCGGTATTGTGTGGCACACGACAAGTTGCCAAGCATAAGATGTATCAATACAAAAAAGAACTTTTATTTCTCAAAATATTAGCCAAACAAATCAACATAAATAATAAGCATTTTAATTAAGTAGGTTCTTTGCAAGCAATAAATAAACCGGAGGCTGTACAACGGTACAAGTATGGCGATACACGTGATTTTGATTAGACATTCAAAGGCGTATCAAAAGCGAGTCATCAAAGCCGGTGGAGTATTGCTTCCGACCGATATCCTATTAAAATATCCTGTTTATTACGCGCCGCCATCAGATCACGAGGACGTCATATTTTTCCAATCAGCTGTAGATACTACACGATACCACCAAGCAGTACATGTCAGAAGACTCATTGTTTTATATTAGAAGCTGACGATCGATAGATCTTGTCTCTTAAGAAAGTGCGAACATTAATCAATTTTGGATACTTCATTCTCATCATATACTGGAAGTATTGAATGAAAAACGGGCTGAATGTCCACGTAATGCAATCCATACAATCATTTCCAATAAACGTTAGCGAGTTAGGTTTTTACCTGTCAGCCAAACTGCTGACAGGTAAAGTCATCACTTCACCTATTAGGTCCTATATTCCATTGATCGATTATCATAGTATACTTTGACCATAATAAGAAGCCTTCTACTTAATTTAAGGGCAAGATGCCTTTACGTCTATGAAATAGGTTTCTTAAGTACGTTAACTTATTGTGAGTCTTCTGGCCATGTGTATGTCGTGTCGTTGTGTCCCGAGGCGGTCGCCCGGGCTGTAGCTCGCAGCGTGTCGTGCTGCGACCTCATCCCGCCGTCTTCATTCAATTTCACTGCGAATATGCTTTCTTGCCTTATACTCAGCTAATGTTTTTGTTACTCTATAATATTTTGCTTTCATCTAATTTGTGCTCTGGTTCTAGAGAAAACATTGAGTTTGTTTGCAAATCGTTCCATGATTACGAAGCTCGAAGGCTAAAGATTTTGGCTGAGAATATAAGGATTTGATTATTATAAGAAAACATTACAGTGCTCTTGATAGATAACTGATTCATATATAATCTCAAATAGTTTTCATGTAATGCTGAGCTTCATTGTAATTCAATATAATATTAAATTGTCCGAGTGTGTACGTTTTACATAATGAAAACATTTCTGTATCAAAGTCAATAGTCTGTCATTAAGATAATCTGTATACAAATATACACGCGGCTACTGAAAGTGGGCACAATCCCAAAGTTTGCTCGAGCTCGGAAGCAGGGAGCTGTGCACGTTTAACATTGACCCAAAGATGAGTTGGGATCCCGGTCGTTGACCCGGCGGCGGCGGCGTATCGATCCCATTCATGCGTGCCGCCGGCTCACCTGCACGCCTGCACCGCTCCACCGCTGCCGGCTCCACCGCGACCACTACAACTACTCCACCAAATATAACTTTTCAATTACTATCATTTAGTGTCCAACCCTATGAAGTAACATTTGATAGCGCAATGGAAACTCAACTAAAACTAACATTATCAAACTGATTGTAACTTGTTGCGTTGCTGTCTAGTACTGTTACTGTTTTCATTACTCGAGTTGTTGTTGTCTTTAAATCAGAACACCGATGTTTGAATGACCTTAGTAGATATTGTAATGGTAGACAAGTATCTGGCCACAACAAACAACGCTATGAGGTAAAGTTAGTTGTGACAGGTGTTGGTATCAAGTAGTTAGCGGTTACCCGCGGCGGTGGCTGACAGCCCTTTGTTGTCAAATTACGAGATCAAACTAATCAGGGCCAAGTTTGAGGTCGGTGGATGTATTGCTCGCGGCTCGGATGCTGCGCTCCGCACTGTACCCTACAACTACCCACACACACACAGACACACACACACACACACACACACAATCACACAACTACTGAAACATTTCAGGTGGCGTCAAATACTGCTCGCTATTTAAGAACTTTGATAACTCATCAAGTCAAAGTTTCTTTAATTGCCAAGTTACAAATGACTTTTTTGTTCCCTCAAAAAATTCTTGATTTCTTTTCTCCATGACATTCAAAGGGAAACTTCGCTTTTTCTTCAGATTGGGATGTATTCTGACTTGTGACAGTTTGAGAGATGTCGAGTCAAGGACGAATAGAGACGGCGCCCGACTCGTCCCTGGAGTTGGTCATCAAAGCGTCTATTTATCTATGAAGTGGTTCCAGCGCCAGTATTTACATTCCATTACTGATTACTATCGTTTTGTAGACATTTCTCAAGAATTAATTATCTTTCTCTCTAAGGTACATTTCTCGGGCTTTGTTTCTACTAAATTAAATTCTAAAGGGTAGTTAAGCTTGGTATTATTTACCATGTACTCGTACAATACACTGAATTCATAACACTTGCATGTGGGGTTCCCTCGGGAGCGCACTACAGAATTAAATTATACTTACAAAAACGTAAATTAAACAATGCACGAGTTGCGTTAAGTACTGTTTCGGAACTGGAGAGATTGCTATCTGTGTGCAGCTCACGACAGGGGGAACATGCAGACTATGGACGACTTGGTGTCTGTGCGAGGACATCACCTCAAATGTTATTTTGCACGGCTCTCGTGTCTCGCTCAAATTTCCTAGTTTGATTATGCGGCAGGTCGTGGCTCGACCTCGGGCCGGGTCATGACTTCAGATTTAAATTTCAGTGAGACCGGAACCGGACGTGCACCGTAGTCCGTACAACCGTGTAGCTAACAAAAACATTCATACGTTATGATGTACTAGACCCGAGCTACTGTATTTGTTTTCATATAACTTATTGTAGATGACAGTATTACTCAATTTTGGTTGTTATGATTGTTATTATTTCCATTTAAACTGGTTTCTATTTCTCTACAAAACGTATAAGATTGAATCTATGAGCACTTTATCGGCGTCATAGTATAAAGAACACAGTAGGTTATCTAAGGCCGCCCGCCGAGTTATTAGCCTACTCTTGCGTTGATCCCCAGGGTTGTCACTTTTACTTTTAGTTAATATTTTCGAACAAGCAGCACTTGATCTAAATTTATGAAATGAAAAGCGTATTATGATTGAATATTTTATCAATTTATAAATTTAGTAAAAATAAAAAGCTTATAAAAAGATTATTAACTTCTTAAAATAAACTTTAGCTCTATACATAGTAATACAGAAAAGAAATACAGAAAGTAAATTTTGGAATACATTTATATGGAAAAATGCGACACGGCCACGCTCTTAACAAATCAGATAAACTGTGAAATAAACAATACAATACCACATTTTCTTATAATATTGAAGTATAGTAGGTAATTACATGCCTGGTTGAGTAGGAACTATGAAGAATGATAAGAGTAAGAATAAGTAAGTAGGTATCTCATCATCAAGTACCTACAAATTATATTATGCTAGAAAAAATGACTAGCTTACCTTTCCTGTTCAATAGGTAATCTGAACAGAGACAGTTCTGGAATCGATTAATTATTAAGACACCCAAACACACAGCAATACGTTCTTCTACGGTTATCAGACATTTTTTATTCCATTTAACAGTGCCGAAAAGTGATGCGCGCGCGAACCTCGTGCAGTGTTAGCCCTGCCTGGCGCACTGAGAAACGGGTCGAGATTTTGTTAAAGTGTGCGTGCGTCGACGCATAGATACTATGGCGCACACATATAAGCCGCGCGCGGAGCATTTGTATGAAGATAACCTACTTTGTTCTTTATACTATGTCGGCGTGTTCCAGCTCCGCACAGAGTACCATTCCAACATTCAAATTGTGGTACCGTACGTAGCGTCTAGTGTGTGGCCACCAGCTCGTAGGGAGAGCACGCGGTATACTTTGATACAGTTCTCAAGACTGCCAACTTTGCAAAATTTGAGCCTTTCGTCGAAGTTATTCTTAGTCCTATGGAATTTTGATGTTGTTATTAAAGTAGCAAGCGGTTTATGACAAGGTTTTAAATATATTTGTGTTTACATACACTCACATTAAAAACAGTAAATTGCGGATTAAATCCAGAGTTTTGTG